GTAGTAGTAGTAGTAGGAGGTAGTAGTAGTCATCGTCGTCGTCCTCGTAGAAGTAGTTCCACGTCAAGCCACCACCTTCCTCTTTTGAGTGTTTTTCCTTCAACAGATCCTAGTACCAATAGTAGTAGTAGCAGTAGTAGTAGTAGTAGTAGTAATAGTAGTAGTAGTAGTGGTAGTGGTAGTGGTAGTGGTAGAGTAGTAGCAGGAGGAGTAGCAGTAGTAGTAGTAGGAGTAGCAGTAGCAGTAGCAGTAGCAGTAGCAGTAGGAGTAGTAGTAGTAGTAGTCGTCGTTGTCGTCGTCGTCCTCGTCCTCGTCCTCGTCCTCGTCGTGGTCGTCGCCGTCGTAGTACTAGTAGATATAGATGATATATAATCGATATATATATATATATTAATATACATAAACCCTTGCGCTCCCCCTTGCGCCTTCTTGCGCCTATCAGGTAAAACCACCAAAAAACTGATCAATCTTTCTGACATGTCCTCTCTAAAGCCTGTCTCTATACCAGAGGTTTCGATCGGCTCCCATATAAACCTGCAAGCAACAGAACTGACCTGCCACGCGGCCACACGCCACACACCTGCTCTCCTCCTCAATTCGTCGACGCTTACTGAGGAAGGCTCCTGGCCAGGTTCCGGAAGGCTCAGGGTTCGGATCTCCGCACTCCCAGTCTAGTCGTGTGGTGATGATCATCCAATGACCATCACAGTTTGTCCAGATCGAACGACATGAACGAAGTGCCCTGAACGAAGTGCCCCGGGAACCACCTGGTTTTTCTCAAAGCAAAGGACATGTAGATGAAGATGACCAATTCACTCCTTGGACCTTAAGGGGTGCAGCTGCATGGCAGTTTGGGGAGTCTCCACAGATCCATTCGGATCCCTGAAAATATCCATTCATGACCTTGTCCAATCAAGCCTATCAGCCTATCATCTGTGACTGCTTCAAAGCTTCAAATGCATGAAACAGATCCAGTCATGGATTCACTTCCAAATCAGAGAATCCCTCATTTACATCCCTCTTCTCCCCGGTGCGGCGCTCCGCACCTGGTCCAGGGATCATCGAGTTCCGGGCTGCCCTGGGCGCTGGACTGGAGCAGGTTCGAGCTTTGATCTCGGACATCATCAGTCTAACAGTCTGATGCACTTCACATACTGCGATGCATCACTGATGCGCACTACAAAGCACTAACTATCACTAGAATTCCATCAGATTCCTGAATCCAGAATCCTGTCATCCTGAAGCTTCTCTGGCTCGAGTGAGAACTCATCAGCTCAGGGTTTTCTTCCGCCGGCCCGGCTCAAGGGAGTGGAACTTGTTCCATCATGTTTCATCCTTCTCAAGTCCAAAAAATGGATGGAATGATGATGATTTGGATGCAAACCTTCTCAAGTGGATGATTTGGATGGATGGAAAAATGGGCCCACTGGGCAAAAAGATGCAAAAAAGATTAAAAAAAAAAAAAAAAACACAAGCTTTACCAGGGAGAATCCATCGCAAATGGTTCTTTGGAATTCTCTCATGTAGGCTGTAGACCAGGTTATAACAAAAAAACTATATGTGTTTTTACAATATATACTTAATAACATAATACACTATAACGTTGTACCATATATATATATTACAATTAACTTGTATAAATATATATATATATACTTATATTATACATGATAATCTTCTAACCTTCCCTTTCCCCCACGCCACCGCCCATCTGCCCCCCTCTGCTGCCCCGGACGTCACGGGGCGATGCACCGCGTGGGCGCCCTGATGTTGAAAGCGCACCGCACCCAACCTCGGCGCTGAGTTGTCGCCTTTCTTTTTGGCTCCTTCCGGTAGAACAGTGCAACTAGATGGATGCCCATGTTCAAAACCAGCCAAGTTCGACATGACATGTTTGCACAGTTGGAAGATCTGGGTCTTTCTCGGATCCCCTTCGAATCGACCGCCGCCGAGGCGAATGCTCCGACGCTCCGCTCCCGAGCTCCCCGGACGTCTGTGAGGCCTCGGGCACAGCCGCCTGGGTGGGAAGGCGTAGGTTTTGAGCTGGGCTCCAGACCTGCTTTGGGGCTCGTCTTACTATGGTCCAAAGCCGGAGCTCTGAGTTGAGTGTCACATTAAGGCTGTTGCTGAAGTTGGTTCTGACTACGCCAAGCGAACTTGAATGCTTAGGACATTGTAGGACCAACCATGACGAATCATGAGAAGCACGGTCACCCTTCCCTTTGTAGCTCCTGGTGAAATATGTATTGCTTGGGTCTATCCTAATACCTGTAACAGTGGATGATGATGGTTAGGTACCAGGCCTTGTTCAAAAATAGCGATTTGCTTGTTTACGGGTCCTGTTACAGGTATTGCCACGGACGTCGACCCAATGTATTGCCTCTTTTCATCATCGGGTGATTAGAGATCGCCAAACATCGTCCGGACACGGGAACCTCGATCTATAGTAAGAACCTCTGGGCTGGGACACCGGGTCATTGCTATGTGTTTGTTGTCACCTCCCCTTGTCTTAACAAACCCACCTACCACTCCACCTACCATATCCTATACCATTTTTTTAGCGGCCCTCCCCTGGTCACCTTCACGTCCAATCTAGGCGAGAGCCCACATCACAGCGGAACTCACAAGCATCTCATCTTATTTGGGATGACCGTGGATAACCTCTTTGAGGTCTTCTTCATTGGAAGATCTGGAAAGAAGCTATTTTCTACGCTCCCACAGAGGCGGGACTTGAAGTCGCTGCCTTCTGCCTTTTCCTCCGCTGTTCCGCCCTGGCGGGTCCTCCGCTGCCTGTCCTCCGCTGTGTGATCTGTTTCTCCTGGCCTCCAGCCCCACGGGGTCCAAGTCCTCCGCTTCATCACTGGAGGAATCGCTACTGCTCTCGCTGCTGCTGGAGCTGGCGGAGACCGAGACGGTCAGACCGGATGCGTTCACCCGGTATAGTCTGCACAGTCAGGTTGTGTGAGGCCAGCATTCAAAGAACCTATTATGGTTGATTTGTGTTTTTGCATGTGTTTGCATGTTTTTTGTCAAGCTCTGGTTCATTGCGGTTGATAACCTTTTGTCTTCTTGTATTCAAGCATGGTAGTACGTATGCACATGATGGTTTAGAGCAGTCGCAAAAAAAAACAAAAATAATAGGTCCTGCAATGTCCTGCATGAAAGCGGCAGGATCTCAACCTTTGATTGACAGCTGTTTATATCCAGCATTGAAACCAGGACCTGTCAGCACCTCTGCCCCACCGGTGAAATCATTCACCGTGGCCCGTCTTGAAAACAGTATCGATGTTTTGTCGATTCATATCGATTCTACAATTTCGGAATGTTCTTTTTAGGGGGGGTGCTCTCTGAAGGGCGGGAGCGTGGACGTAAAGGTAGGTCGGAGAAGAGGTTACCAAGTGACCAAGTGGCTGGGGAATCAACCCAAAGCACCTGAAAGCGCAAACAGAAACCTTAACTATCCCAAACACTCCCAAAAACAGCACGAAATCCTTCGTGGCCCTTTCCGATTCGACGGTTCATCAGAAATCCGACCGCGATTCGGCAGCTCGCAGTGGCCACGACTCGTGCCTGGCATCCGACAGCCGTTCTCCTGCAGGGCGTTCATGCCTGGAAGCAGCACCAGCGGCCAGCGGGGTTCAGAGAAATGGCCGATCGGGAGTCCCATCATGCACTCACTTCCAGTGTCAACTCCTTTAAATGCTTTGCGGTTTAACGCGAATGATATTGAAATGGCATGAAATGGCTCAATTTGGAGATGAGATTGTTGATTCCTCATCCTTTGATTCTCGTTAAACCATATCCATCCTGGCGGAACCCTCTACTGTTCCGTCTGTTCATCTCACTCGGTCCGGAGCGATCGACGATCGGTGCCGCGTCTTCCGGACCGTTCCCGTCGTCGTTTCCGGTTTCTTCGCCGCGCGTCGTCTTTCTCCCGGGGTGTTGGTGCTTCAGCTCGAACGGTGTTCCTCGGGTTCGGTGCATCTGGCGGTTCCACGTTCACTTTCATGTTCCTTCCCCCAACGACGAACATGCACCATGAGCGTACAGACAGCGCCTTCATACATCGACCCAACATAGCTGACTGCCCCCGAAACCCCTACCCAACCTCATCTTGAAGTTGTCTCTCTTGTTCAACTCCATCGCCCTTTCATATAAGGGCGAATATCTCCTGGAGACGAATGCATGGCCGACACAAACAAAACAGTGCCCTGGGGAGACAACAATTCCCCAAGCTGCTATGATCCTTTGGTGGTAGTTCAAAACCTGACCCCCCAACAGATTCCTATATGTGTCCTGTTGCAACCGTCACCTCCTAATGTGGTCTGATTTGATGTCCACATGGCCCGCATCAGCAGCTCCTCATGTTTCGGAGCCACAGCCATGCAATCTTCTCGCCTCATGTGCAGACATCCCCATCTCATGGGTGGTTACTGATTATAGGATCATATAGGATATATAGGTAGAATGAGTAGAACCTTAAGGTTTGTGGTCTAGTGGATAGTCTCGAAACCCCACAAGAACCTCCAAGTGTCTCACTCTTGCTTTGTAAACGGTTGTGTTGGCACAAACAAAAAGGCCAAAGCAGCACTGAAACAAGTTTGCCCTTCCAAACCCCAGCAATCTTCGAACATCTGCTGCTGGTTCAATGCTGGGTCTGCTCCACTCCGCGACACTCGGGGCTCAGGCGCTCCCGACGGGTCTTGGTCCAAACCTCGGTGCCGCGCGGCATCCCGTGGGACTGGGGTGGGGTGAGTTTCGGGAGGTCGAACAACTATAGTTTCTTTGGAGGATGTGGTTTTTGGAGCCATTTAGGGGTGAAGTGCACCTGCTGCTGGGCAGGATTTTGGTGGAAAGGGTCCTTTGTCCTTTTGGGGGCAGGGGCCAGCAAGAGAGAGAGAGAGAGAGATCGTGCATCCACAAGTTGGAGAGTTGGAGACCCTCTAGGAAGGTTTTTGGTGAAGACATTTGGGACCATTGGAGGGTTCCTATTTTCGACTTCGCGTCTTCCTTTCGATCAGCGAAAGTTTGCCTGTTTACTGGGAGGGTCAAGCTTGGTCAATGCCTTCTAAGGATGAAATTCTGTGTGTGTAATTCCTCCAACTTCGGGATCTTCCCAGTGCACTTTGACTCGCAGCGTGGAATGTGAAATTGGTTCCTGAAGCAAGACTGGCTATGGCTTTCCAAGGGAACCCATGTTCCATGTCCAACTCCTTGTGAGTTAGGGCGTGTACCCACAGCGGTTTGTAAAATATGGCCTATCCCGAGTCATGAGTATAACTATAAGCCACCGGGCATCCAACATCTCCACTACGCCGTCAAGAAGTATCAATTGAGGTCCCTCAACCAATCTCTTGGTGCAAAAACGTCGAAGCAAATTTGGGCCAGCCAACTAGCAGGGAAGAGGTAGGAGCAGGGAAGAGGTAGGCTTTGGTGGTAGTTGGGAGCAAGTTGGCCAAAAGGCTCCGAGAATAGTCCATCATTTTTTCTAGTACACAAACGCTCTTGAAGTATAGTTGGAAATAGATATGTTTTGTTCGTTTGGGTGTTCTTTGCAAAGAACTATTTTACTGTAGAAATAACAACCTTCAATGCAGTTAGCTTGTTCTGCTTATCTTGCCCTTAGTGGGTTGGCTAAAAGGGGTGCTTAGAAGACTATTAAGGGAGGCATTAACTGAGTCTGTCAGAGTTTAACCACTAGTCTGTCTTCTGAATGGCACAACTGATCAAATTCTGACTGAGTCTCCAGGAAGTCAACAAAGTAGTCAACAATGAAGTGCATCTTGAGGAGCTCCATCTCGCTCTTAGTCAAGTGCGCTGCTTTGAGATCACTCAAGCGATCCATGCAAGAGTAGGTCTGCCACTTTAGGGGCATGACCGCTGGATCGTAAGATGGCCTGCAGTGCCAACCAACGACGTGTCTGTTTGAATGCTTGAACCTACTGATTGGCCCAGTCGGATTTTCGTGTCAGCATCGTTTGTTAGTCAAACCGCACGCCGCCATCGTCTGTCACGATTAAACACCACGTGGGTTCCCGGCCAAATGCATGTGCCACTTTTGGAGGGAAGCCTGCATAGTCGAAACAGTTGTCGGTTGGAGGCCTTTGAGGCCTTTGCTTATAGGTTAAAAGGCCTTTGCTATTAGGCTGGAGGTAGGTTGGAGGCCTTTGCTTGTAGGTTGGAGGCCTTTGCTTGTAGATTGGAGGCCTTTGCTATTAGGTTGGACCTTTGCTTGTAGGTTGGAGGCCTTTGCTTGTAGGTTGGAGGCCTTTGCTATTAGGTTTGAGGCCTTTCTCCTTGTAGGTTGGAGGCCCTTGCTTGTAGGTTGGAGGCCATTGCCTTTAGGTTGGAGGCCTTTTGCTTGTAGGTTGGAGGCCTTTGCTATTAGGTTGGAGGCCTTTGCTGGCAGGTTGGAGGCCTTTGCTTGTAGGTTGGAGGCCTTTGCTTGCAGGTTGGAGGCCTTTGCTATTAGGTTTGAGACTTTGCTTGTAGGTTGGAGGCCTTTGCTATTAGGTTTGGTGCCTTTGCTTGTAGGTTGGAGGAATTTGCTATTAGGTTGGAGGCCTTTGCTTGTAGGTTGGAGGCCTAGGTTGGAGGCCTTTGCTTGTAGGTTGGAGGCCTTTGCTTGTAGGTTGAAGGCCTTTGCTATTATCCATTATGACTTGACGTTTTTCACATTGGAAGCTGCAATAAAGCAAAGCCAGCACAGTGTCTGCACAACAACAGGTTGGTGCACAATGTGTGCGCAGTGTCTCTGTTGCGGTTGGTTCAGCTGGCAGTCCTGCCACAACAATTTTTCACGCTCACGTCGAAGCTACGCAAGAGTCTGTCAGCAAGGAAACTCTCACGCTTTCCGCGCCGGTGCAGGCACGTGGCCATAGACAGATAGGCAAGTGTTCATTTTTCTGCTGCCAAAGGGCTTTGGTTCTCCAACGCGTGCTTCTTTGGAGTGCCTGCGCCTACTGTATCATGGGCTTGGCAAGCAAAGCTAAGCATCTTGCCCATTGCTTAGCCAACTGGTTCACGATCCGAAGGATCCAAGAGATGCACAGATTCAGCTAGAAAGCTCCCTGCGCCAAGCATCTTGGTGATGAACACCAATGCATGCCTCGACTTGTCTCTGCCAGGATCCAACTTAAACTCTGTGCAATTATCGAGATTGCAGAAGGCAATGAGCTGCTTTTCTTCTGATCCAAGGGGCGTTTGACAGCGCGTCAAAAACCTCGGACACCATCCGATAGCCCTCACCGATCTGCTGCAGCTTTGTCTTGCTGTCGCAACGAACTAGAACAAGAGCTTTGGCGCACGCTTTGGGGCTGCGACTGCCGTATGTCACGAGCAAATTGTAGAGTGATGAAGTGTCCAACATGCTCAAGGTGGCTGGGACAATGCCATCCGTGGATGCCGGGCAATCCTTCAAGCTTGCCAAGACTTTCCAGCTTTGCTGTGTCGGAGCCAGGGTGAGGTCTTGCAAGCTTCAACCACCATCATCAAGGCTTTGCCGTCTGAAGTCTTTCGGGCCACTTTCACACTTGCCAGGGTTGGAAAGTACAACTCATTCTTATCGTGCTTGGCAACAAACTCGTCCTTAGAGTCAATCTCTGTCAACGCCAAGGCGGCCTTTTCTATCATGTAGCACTGCACAGTGCCAGAAAAGTCCGTCAAGGCCACTCGTGGAAACAATCTCTTCATATCCTTGGTGCAGACCTCACCACACACCGCTACGTTGCACCAGTTGACCTGGAAAACACCGTCAAACTGACAGCCATCCATCTGAGCCAAGATCTGGCATGAAGTTTCAATACCCTGCTCATTGGAATAGTCTTCGTTGGGTTCCCAAGACTTTGTGGCAAACATTCTGGTCGTCTTGCTGGGGTCCTTTTTCCAATCTTGTGTTTGGATCTTCACAGCTTTGGGCGGTTCAGCGCAAGCAAACCAAAAATCATGCGAAGACCGAAGACCGACACACGAAAACTCTGTGTCTGTTCGGCTGCCATTGATGCCGTAGAAGCTGATCGGCTGGCTCTGCTTGTGCCAAGAACTCAACTGCTGATGGCTCTGGTCTTGCGAACTGCCAAAGATTGTGAAAGAAACCTGCATGATTTCATCGTGTCCTGTCCCATCTTCGAGCACCACATCGAATGCAAAACGCTCCTGACCGTTGTCCAACTTGCCCGCAGATCTGACCTCGGAGATTGATGCCACCATGGCCGTTAAGTCAAACGTTGGTCTTCTTTCAAGTCAGCAATCTGCATCACCTCGCGGCAACGATGTTTTCGAAGAAAACGCCACAGTACTGCAATGAAAATCAGGCCAGACTGTGTTTTTGGTTTTGCACACGACGCAAACTGTTCGTGCTTAAAAGATTGGCGTCAAAGAATTGAAAGAAACATGATAATGATCTTGGCTTTGTTGAACACTATTTTGCAACTTATTTGCTTTATGAGTGGGTCTGCTTGCCTGCAGTGTCGGCTGTGGTTGTGCCGGCACGGGTCCAGATGGCTTTATCTCTTCAAATTTCGTCTTCTTCAGATCCACCACGAGTTTCAACCTGTGCACAGGTGTCGCAGCGAGATGAGCACATCTTTGTCAAACAAACTGTTCGTAACACACCCGCGCTTTAACAAAACTTGCTGGCTCATCCAAGAAACGGAGAGTGCACGTATTTCTTTTGCACCTCTGACTTCAGACTGACTTTGCTCATGTTCAAGAGCTTTTTGTCAAGAAACATCTTCTTTCTGTTCTGGATGCTATTCGGGTTTTTCTTGTCGTTCCGCGCCTCTCCCACCACATACAGCGAGCTGTCGTGCGCAGAAGTCAGCACACATCGAAACACTTGGCCGACTTTGCGCTCACCATTCCAAAGGTAGGTGTATTCGTGAACTCGTGGGTAGTGAATGCACACACTCCATTGGCCCATGGCAGCTGAGTGGGTACTCAGCTCATTCAGCGAAACACTAGCCTGCATGGTGGCGACTCACTGCCATCAACGTTCTGAGCAAAATCCTTCCAAAACAAATCCTCATGCCGCTGCGCCACACCGGCATTCGCAAAAACAATTCGTTCTTCGTTCCTTCTCGACGGTGTTTTTGCTCTGCCTCAACAAAAATTGACTCCGCCAGAGGCCTCCGAACCAGAGACCGCAGGAGAAGTCGTCATAGCTGAAGACAAACCTCGAAACAACACAACAACCAGCCAACAACCAAGCAAACAACTGCAAAGTATCATGAGATAGGACTTGTAGAACCTCCAAACCAAAAAAACAGTGGCCACAGTGGTCTCATCATCTATGAGGCTGGGGGCCCTCGCTAGTAGGTTGGAGGCCATCGCGGGGGGCTTCTTTGAAGAAGCATCAGCTATCCTGAGTCATGAGCGTGTTTAGTACCTAATAACTACTACATAACTAGCTTGTGCTATCCGCATCTATCCGTGGCCTGGCCTTTAAAAGACTGATGCAAATCCTTTTGGTCAACTGGCCCTGAGATCCTGCCAATGAGTCAGGCCTCACTCGTCGGCGATGGCTCCAGTGCCAGGAGTCGCACAGGCACGACCTCGTCGCAACGACGTCGCACAATGTATCAACAGGTCTTCAGTCAGGTCTTTTAGGAACCCAGTGCTCAGTAATGAACGAGGAGATCTTGATATTGATTGGAGCCTGTAATCTATCCATTTGTACAAAGTGACCACACCACCAGCTTAGAACCCTGAGTACGCCGATCCAATCAACACTGAAAAAATACAATCATACATAAGTAAGTTGAGAAGCTCGTGGCTGTAATGGCTATTTCTTCGAGCCCTTTCTGAGTACCCAGCTTTATGGTTTGATCTCCTTCTGTCATGTGCTAGGAGTTTCTCCCTAAACCCAATTCCTCCCGAAACTACCAGCACAAACCAGTGGTTGTAGATCAAAGGTGACTCCAGTGTTGATTGCAAGACAACTGGGCGTCGTTGTCCAGTCAGCTCGACTGCGTGCAGTATGGAGCATCTCTGGCTTAGGCACGCCTTGCGGCAGTGGTGTTCGCCGATTATTGCCGTCATCACTGCCTTCTTCGTCTAATACTGCCTTTAACAAGTTCTTGACAAACAAGGTTTATCAGGTAAATTTATCTGAATGAAACCAATTTTTTTACATATTGGCATATACGGACTGTTATGCAAAATTATGTTGATCAAAAAAAATGTAGAACTCCTACCTCTTCCTACCTTCCCTGCTAATCGTCCCGTCTGACAAATGGGTGTGTAATGCGTAGACTCTGACCTCCCAGTCCGACCTCGAAGAAGAAAAACGATCAGTCTACCCAGCCAGGGCCAAGGGGTCTCCCCAGGGCCAAGGGGTCTCCCTCCTGCGATCGGATTCTCCAAGGCTCCAAGTCAAAGTTATCGGGTCCGCAGTAATTCTGAGTCACGGCCACCGTGTCCTGGACGAGGACAGAATAAAACATAGGAAAAACCAGGCGGCTAGAGCGGCGAGCGGGTGACCGGACACGGGAGGCGACAAGAGTTCACCGAGGGTCTTTTGGGAGCTGGGTGGTCTTTGGATGTTTCGCTTTGGTGAATGCTGACGAATCTGATGACATCTGATGACAATCTGGATAAACCAACATGCAATTTTGCCTCTCGAGGTTGTGACAAACTCTATGTTTTTTGTCCCATCAACTGGACTAATCGGATCATGCGATCATATCGCCCCAATCTTTCAATTCCGTGGGCCTCAAACCGAGCCGTTTGTCGCCGCAAACGTCAAGTGATTTGGACATCCGGCTCGCCACACTCCAAACACCAAAAGATACCAAACAGTTTTTCCAACATGGATTAACAGTGATACCAACCGTGTTCCAAAAGTTTTCCTAAAGAAGACGCTTGGCTTTTACTAAAACACCTTTTGACCCAGAAAGTCTCACGCGTTCATCTCGAAGTCTCCCTGATGGAGAAAACACGCTGGATGCCTCGAGGTTCAGAACTCCGTGCCACCAATCTCCTGGGACGAAGATCACCTGAAGCCAGGTGAGGAGGTGTTTTTCAGCACTGGAGGGCTGACATGGGCTGACTGGCAACTGGATGACTGGGGTAGGTGATGACATGAGTAAAGAAGTCAGGGAAATGGAAGGGACATGAATGGGCTCTTGAAGAAGGTTGTGAAGTTGTGAATTCAAGAGACTAAGAGTCTGCAATAAGTAATAAGTGAATGTATCCTAGTGGGGATGTCTTGTTGGAGGTCATTCCTTCATTCGTGTCCAATCACACCAGTCAGTTGGTAGGAGTACAACAACCCGAGTGGATGTTTGGTGCTTAATGTCTAGGACTTGAAAGCCATCGACCCTTAAAGGGATCAGGGCTTTTAGCGTGCTTCAGAACGCTTGGACAATCAGCCCACGGATTCAGTTTGTGCTTTCAGTGGATACAATTTAATTGTCACCATATTGTCACCCTATGTGGTGGGGTCACATGGAATTAACATGGCTTAACTGCTTAACTTAACGATTTCTGAATATATATATATGGACTTTTGGGAGCTGCGTCCCATCGAGGCAGAGAAGAAGCAGCGGCTGGTTTCTTCTAATTGCCCATGTTTCATGGGCTGCTTGTGAATTTGGACTTCATCAACTCCGAAACTCTTGCGTTTTTGCGGCCTCACCAGGTTTTTGAAGACCCTCATAGATCTTCAGGTCCGGATAGGCTTGCTTGATCTAAGCGCTCGCGGGGCGTGCGAGCACAGAAAATGCGGCAATCGATGTTCTGCTTTTTGCGAGGGGCCTGAGTGGGTTGTTCATATTTTGTGTATTTTTGTGTCATTTGCCTGAAACTGGGAACAAGAGCTGCAAAACAAGTAATTACAGTAGGTAGAGACATGTAGAGACTTACAGCTACTGGTCTCCCATTCTTCACCATCCCCTGCAATCGTACTGTACTGTAGTGACACCCTGAACAAAGATTATTCCTTATATATATATATATATATATGTATGTCCCTCGGAGCAGTGTGCTTGATAGAACAACCTCATAATCCCCGCACCAATGGTCGCTTGCCAAGGCCAAGACATATGGGCACTCATGTCGGACTTTTTCATCTTGGATGCAAGGATAGGCTCCGAAATCATCTCATCGGAGCACAACACAAAATGCAGACCGATTCCACCCCAGTCTCCACTTTTGGAGAAACCTACAGTACCAGCACCCGCCGTCATAGGTCTCCACCTGCCATTTTGAAGTACCACCCAAACGCGACCCTGGGCCCTCATATGGAGGGTCTGGGGTCGAAATCCATAGGTTTTGAGTGACCAAGGGCTGTTTGGAGCGTCTGGGCAACCAAAGGAGACCTGTAGAGTCGGATGCGAGGTCTTATTTGGATGTCGTTGGAGCCACGGCGAGGAACGGCTCCGTTTTCATCGGGGGGGAACCGACCTATATATCCTCACCCCGGATCATTTATCCTACCAGGAGTCACATGTCGGGTTGGTGTTTAGTCCCAAGTGAGTGGATCATGGGCACCGCTAACCTCCATTAAGCACCCCTTGGTGCCTGCAGGTACCTTTTCAATCGTTGGGCTAGACCACTCCCATCCACTCCCATTGATGAAACACACGTGAAATCCACGTCAGGTGCCACCATTTCTGGCAATGCCATTCCGCTGTACAGCCGGAATCATCCGCGCTTACCATCACGAACAACACGCATCGCGACATTCACGCATGAAGATATTGACGAGAGTCTCGTGGTAAGATGTAGTCGAAGTACATGATGGCCTGTCACGTCACGGTACGCCAAAGAGGCGACGGTGCACCCAGAGGCGACGGAGTTCGGCACCGGCCAGTGCACAGCTTTGCGCCTTCGTTCAAAGTGGTCATGAGAATCTGTTGATGATTCTGTGACTTTCTTCACGTCCTGTCATTCCTGTATCCTCACATCGTCCACCGAAGCTGAGGATATCTGATGAAAGCTCCATCTCAAGCTGATCTTGATATACCTTGATAGCACCCGACTTGACAGGTCTCTAATGCTGAGGGCGACCTGGAAGCAACGAAACACCTGTTGTTGGAGGGTCCTGGTAGAGCATTTCCAGCCACTGGGGGGGATCTTGGGGTGGTCTCCCCTCTCTCCCTGCACCTCGTCATCCTCTCCACTGCGCAGCAAATCCTTCCCTGCAGTGTGCCAGAATGGAGCCACCCGTCTTCTCGTTCGGAAAGGGGACAGGTGTACGTGACTAGTGTATCAGCCCTGGATGAAGTGTGGGCAGTGCATCTGCTCTCTGACAAGGTGCTGCGATCTTGGACACCTCACAAGAGGAAACAAGAGGAAATGTGGGCAGTAGCAACCGAAAGGCAGGATTTTCAGGGTTCTCATATTCTGTGAAAAACGAGTGCAGCCCCTTGGAGTATTCTTTTTCCGCATCGATTCAGAAGCTTCGAGAGGTTGAAAAACCTCAACAGTTCTCCTCGATTCAAAGGTGTCCTCGTTGGGCGAAAGTCCAATCCTACCTTCTCCATTGCCGATGTCATCTTGGGTCTCATCTTGTATGGTTTTTCAGTGCAGAAATCCAATGACACTTTTTATTTTTTTCTCTCACTCACTCGAATCTCGAGCATGTTCTGTGGCAAGCTAGTTTCGCGGATCCAATGACACTTAGTGCAGAAATCCGCTTCGATCCTTGGATCGATCCGTTCGAACGGCCATCGTTCGAACGGCCGACATCCACGATGTCCTATGGGACGGTCTCCGCTGTCTGGGTGGGGTCAAGAGGTGAATGAACGGTAGGTTCTTTGATGTTCTTTAGGATAGAACGATATAGAAAGCAAAGACTCCAACAAATATGCCATATGATGGACGTACTTATGGAATCTTATGGAGCATAACTGGACCATCCCAGCTGGAGATCCCTAAGTCGTGGTCCAGGTATCTGCTGAATCACGACTCACATCTTATCATTGTTTCCCCATGTTTCCCCTTCACTCTCAGGTTCTGACCCTTCACCCGCTTCTTGGTCTCGTGCGGCTCAAACAGAACCTCAGACTCGCAAATCCCGAGACGAGGAGTGAGGAGTACACGGGCAAACCCGGATGCCGGGAGGACCACGATCTTTTGGAAGCTGGCCAACTCCCTCCATAGTGCCATAGACTTGGTAGATAGAACAAAGACTGTAGCTACAGTTAGCACTTGCTGTACACTGTAGATGCAGCAAGCCCCTTCAAAATCCATCCACACTCCCCATCCAGAATCGTCCAACTGGCGTGGCGAGTGCTGCTGATGATCGGAGGATCCTCTATCACCGCATCTGTTCGTCTGTTCACCACCATCTTTGGCCTGTGCCTGTTGGGTCGAATGACCAACAACCCTCCTACATACCCAGAGACCTTGGACTGGCATATCGATCAGCCGGGGTGGTTGATTTCAGGGGTTAATGAAGGCATAATAATACATAATATTCTTCCTGTCCCTATGGAGTGTCTGGGATAAAGTGGATAAAGATGGATAACGTTTACAGCTTGTCTCTGGCTGGAAACAATCCATGGAGCTGTTTTTCACGTGGGAGTTGTCCAACAAAGCTATTCTTTTTGAGCTTGTATCGCCGGCCTTTCGCGACCCTTTCGCGTTTGCAGAAAAACCACAGGTTTTCCTTTCGCGCATTGTGATGAGCTTCACTGAGTTCACAGTGTTTGGGATATCTAAATACCTGTTAGTGCGCTGAGAAGCAGGCTAATTACCCTTTGTCAATTCATACTTGAAACAAATGTTTCAAGGCTTATTTCAAGGCCATGGATGGGCAGATGACCTTCCAGGCAATGCGCCCTCTCGCGGGCCTACCGCCGGCCTTTCGCAGCCCTTTCGCGAAAATCCGTGTTTCTGTTCGGGAAAAAAGATGTGTCATGTATTATGCACATTGTATGTAAGTCTAGGTTGGCACATGTCTTTCGCTGTCCTATCGCCGGCCTTTCGCGGACTGCAGTTTCCCTTTCGCGACATGTGTGTTTTAAGTTTTAACATTTGATCGAAATTCCTTCACTGGCAATAACGGACGGCCCTCACGTGAACACCCATGGAATGCGTCCTGAAGCCACATGTCTTCCCCTTTCTAGCGATACCTTCAACTTCCTGTCAGAAACTCTCCCAAACTTCCTGTCAGCTTATCACCACCCAGCATCACCTAATCTGAATACACTATGAATACATAAATATGACCTGACCTGACCGCATCTGCACACACTCCGCTCCGCTCCCACCCACATCTGACCTTCCCGTCCGACGCCGCGCCCAATCTGGCGTTCCCCGGCCCAGCGCTTCACCCCGTGCGTCACGGCGTTCCAGGCCGCAGTGCCCAGGGGATCCGTGTGGACCTCGGAGCGGGCGGAGAGCGCGGAGAGCACGGAGGTGGTGCGGTGTGGTGTGGACCCTGCGGTGGGGAATCAGTCAGTACGTGTGGTTGCGAGAGGGATGGACATTCGAAGTAGAATGACATGTCCAAAGAGAAATCAACAGTGATCATTGGATGGAATCATAAAACATACAGTTAAGGACATGCCGCTCTAGGTTGCTGAACATCTTTCTTGCATATGCAGCAAATATGTTGCTTGAACAGTACAGAAAACCACGATATCCCACATCACCTCAGAGGATGTCCCACCCTTTGCAACGTGACATAGTTTAGTGGAGTCTAGGCCACGAAACCGGGTTTCAATCATGTCATGTGCTCTCTTCTCTTCCTATTATAGGTGCCACCGGTCCTACTCCAGGTCGTTGAAGCCGGATGGCCCCGGATGACCGGTGTCCCGGTCAGACCTGACACCGGCCGGGCCCGACCGAGACACGGGTCGCTCGGCCGGGTGTCCCGGACGGTGGTGCCCGAGCGCTTGGGGCCGATGCAAAACCAACGGAAGGGCGGCCTCGGAAGGCGGCGAGACCGTGGTCGACACGGTGCGGTGGTCGTTTTTGCTGCATGCAAGTGGGCTGGTGCGTTCGTTAGAGGAAGCACAGAGGAGGAGCAGGTCACACGAAAAGGCCACAGCAAGCGAATAAACCCAAGAAATGCTTCATTCTATAGGTAGCGGATTCCAGCATTCAATCAAGGGGCTGGGCTGGAAAAGAACTGTTCACGGAACCCCTGATCCCCTACCTTGCGATGGATCACTACTTGACTAATTCATTCGAGGCACAGTAAATTCGTGTAAATTCCACGACTCAGGTGATCCCAGGTGATCCCAGGTGATCCCAGCTGTGGTAAAATCGTGGTAAAATCCATCATTGGAGTCAGACTGGACAGTTCTTCTTGGCCTGGACTGGCCGTCCGGAAGCCATGAGACTCTCTCTAGCCACTTGGAGTGGTAGCAGGCCCCAGACCGTAGCTGTAGTGGGCCCCTCCCATTCTTTTTTCGGACCCGAATCTGACCCGAAGAATCCAACCGGAGTTGATGAACAATAGGGCCGTGACTTTCCATGAATTCCACCACCAGAACTGAGGTGTGTCTGCGGGAAAGGGATTGTTGGGGGAGAAGCACCCCCGAAACCACCTCCAGCAGCCAAATCAACCAACACATAAAATATTGGAAAACCCATCAGACAGTTCAACCAACTGGACGGCACCGTCGCAGACGGCCGCGGTTCTGCCCCGGTTCTCACAGTTCTACACTTCTACCACTCGTTTGACTGGGACTGTTGAGATCATGCTCAGTCATAATTCATCATCATTCATATCGTTCATGGGTCAATTCATGTTAAGCATTTTGCCCCCAGAGGATCATCAACCAAACTCACTCAGTCTGGAGATATCCTCAGCGTCATCCTGTTCAGGTCCTACCTATCTAATTACGACATACTCAGAAAAGAAACGATCTCTGTTGCTGGTTGGGTTCATCAACCCATGAGGATGAACTGAGAGGTTCCGGCCACCCACGAGGACGGTCATAAGGTGATGCTGTGGTCGCGAATTGGATCGGCCGATGCACCGGACCCCGATGCGTGTGTACCGCACCGCACGGACCCACGACATGAAACAACTGGACTGAAGGCATTTGGTGACCCGAAAGCCTAAACCCTCGCATCCATCCCCATCCCCATCCCCATCCTTGCGCCTGGCATCGGTGTTGACCAAGGAGAACCAGTCGTGCGGGAAGAGATCCGGCACCTTAAAAGAACTCCGGTGTTAACCGTCCGCGGGTGTCATAGGGTGTGTAGTGGGCTGTCGGTGTTTCACAGTCTGTTCAGCGCGGCTTAACGTCCATGAGAGGGAATAAACACATCATGCGTGAGCCGTTACCCGCTGGCTGCTTGTTTCAAGCAACATGTTGTGAAAAGTGTCTCCAGTCTCCAACCCCCACCAGAAAAAGCACATCCATACCACACAGATCCACACAGTGTGGATGGAACAACAAAATATTCATCCTCCTTCACCACCCTTCACCCATCATATGTCATCGCATGTCACTTTGCAAACCTGAGAAAGTGTTGGAAAGTCTGGATTCTCCGACTCAGGTCTTCTTGGTCGCCATGCAGGCCATGCACTCAAGGTTGCTTCCAACACTCGTTTTCTGCACCACGCCTGGTAGTCGTCCATCAATGGCCTCCAAGGGCGATTCGGAGCGACAGCTGGGGAGATCATGTCTGGGAGTTCGTTGTGAAGGAAGCTGTTCGGATGCTCCCTTCAAAAGATGAGCATTCAAAGGGAGAAGACGTTGAAGAAGTGGAAGGCACAAGCAACTAATTCAGAAGAGGAAAACCAAAGAAGTTTGTTCATTCAAATCCGTCCAGGAACCTCATAGGAGCCTCCTCCCAAACCTGAAATTCTGGAATCAGCTGTGTGTTTGCTTGGAGCGGGTCCCTGATTGTGCAATGCCCCTTCCTGAAAACCCATGTGACTCCACTTCCACCTGATGTGCGCGTTGTCGTCCATGTCGGTCTCAAAGAGGTACAGCGGATTGTCGTCCTCGGACCAACCGAGGCCACGCGATGAGACGCACGGCCCTGATAGGGTCGACCGATCTACGTGGTCGACAGATCTACGTGGTCGACAGAACGGGCTTTTTTCGTGAAGAAGCCAACACCGGGAAGCACCTGACGATGGAGACGGCTGTGTGACGGCTGCGTTTTTTTTTTCTCAAGCTCCCAAGGCTGGGGCGCGCTGATGTCTCACATAGTCTGCAAAGTACTTGAACCTCAGCCACGGCCACGTGCGCATCAGGCGTTCCACCCGTCAGTCCAGCACACCGAGATGTCATGACAAGTGTTCACCTGGATGTTGGGATACGTGGCATTTACCGGGGAGGTATTCCCCAACACCATCCTGCTCATAGATTCAGATTCAAATGCACACCCACCAAATGTTGAGAGCTACGAACCTCAACCCATTGTGTGTAGCATTGTTCTTGACCCACTCAAACCTCTCCTCCAAATCACAAGTCGTCAGTCAGACTGACAAATGTCTGACAGTCTGGCATGAGTCAGTCACTTTCTTCTGATCAAATTCGGGAAATGATCCACCAGGGAGCTTCATCCGCAGCTTCTTTCCATTGTCATCCTTGGCGACCTGCAGATTCGAAGGCACCTTAGGGGTGGTCCTGATCATGCAAAGCCTCTTGCTGATGATCACCTCATAGGTGATCATCCACTTCGCAACATCTATCAGTGTTGGGCCTTTGAAAGGTCTTGAGTCTTGAATCCTTTGTTCATCCCAAAGTTCTTGACCGTAACAATCACGCATTGGTTTGGACCGTCAGTGACGTTGTCAGTGACGCTGCGGGAGCCTTGAAAGGCACGTGCCGGAAGCGCTCGTCCAAGGCGTCCTCGGCGGAGGGGAGCACAGACCGCAATGGGCTGTGGGGCCCAAGAGTAGTGGAAGCTCTCTTTATCATCTCCCGACTAGAAGGTTATGTATGCCATATATGCAATACTATTAAACCATGCATGACTTGTGTGTCTATCTTCAAATAAAGAAGCAACATGAAAATGCTTAGCCACGAAGGGTCCAGAATCAATCCCTAAATGGCTCCTATACGGGAGATCCTAAAACCATCCGATTTGATAGTCCTGGCCACCTATGAAGACCAAAAAATAACTACTACACAACGACCGTGTAGCCCTGTTCAAGACTTGTGTTTGGCTTAGATATGCTTGTGTATCTGATACATATAGATCGATTGGGTCATCCCCCAGTCGTCTTCCGGTCATCTCCGGTCAAACAAAACGGTCACGTCAGACGTCCCGGTTTCGCCAAGTGGCAATGGACCACCGACTCATCGCCGGCCAATGGGAACAGCACTCCTCGTGTCGGCGCGCGTCTTGGAACCGCGTCCCGGGCGGTTCTGAGGCATTTTTGAAGGACAAGGATTGGACAATTATTGGACATAGTTGACAATGTTGACATGTTTAAGCTGCTATGAAAGTTTAAAAAAAACAAACTGTTGACGTATGTCGACGTGTTATAGCAGCAGCTTGACATGTTTAACACCTTTTTTTGTCGGTTTCTTTCCAGCTGCTTAAGGCTCCGTCTTGAGATTCGTGGCTGCATGTGGAAGCATCAAACCTGCCTGCGCTGATCGTTTCACCACACTTTTCCAGGGTTCAACGGTTGAGCCTTCCACCACTCGGTTTTCCTAGAACTTCATCGCAGGCACCAACGACTGCCTGACTGCAGACTGACCTTGTCGTCGAAGGTGTTCGGTCGACCGAGTCGACCGAGCCTTGGCCCATGACTTTCACCCTTCAACCCCCGCTCGGATCCCGACTTGCCGTGCTCAGACCATCTGTTCAATAATGTTCAATACCGGTGAGGGTAGCAACTCCACACAGCTGGCTTTAGGGCCCCTTTGCAAGCTTTCCGACAGGTCCTCCACGATGACCGGCCACGCTTGGCTGGAGAACTGCTGGAAGAACTGCTCAGGCGTAATGTCGCTCGCCTACAAATGGTAGGATTGGATCAGAGGCCCCAACAAATGATGAACCTAATTGGAGGGGATCTGGGAATCTGCTAGATATGTTCACATGTTCTACGCAAGTCCTCGTTGTGATCACGTGGTAGCATCAAACAATGCCCACATCCACGGTCTCACGTAGGCGCAAGCAGGGCAATAGACGCAGCAGTAGACAGTGATCGCGCCTTGACCCTTGGAATCGGCACGGTCTGTTCATCATAGACGATGGGCCGTTCCAAGACCTCTTCCTGGAGTGTCACCAAGCTGACATGAAATACAGCTGAACACTAAAACACATATTGTATGCCTCTTTTCTTGCGGATGATTGATGACAAAGACTTTTGGTCGTTGGTCCCTCAACTCCAGGCGAATGATTAAAAAGGAAGGCTCCGCCAAAACTCGCTGCAATCCTGTGATCATGTCATCAACCTTAAAAGATTCTACATGTCAACCTAAGCAATCCTGATGATCGATCCATCGCTTCTGATCGGTCAAAGCCTTCGCAAAGTACCCGAACTTGTCCCACTCGTGCGGCTTGATGTCGCTGCGCTTGCCCTGATCCGTCGCGAACGGGCAGATGGGATTCCCCTCTCAATCGGGTGGCCAAGAGTCAACCGAGCCATGACTTTGTCAATGGCACCGGCAAAGCACAGCGTTTAGTTGATCAACAAAAGGCACTGGGGCAGTCCTTAGCTTTCTGAATGTTGGATACAGCTCTGCCACAATAGCATAGCGATATGCACTTGGATTTGCTCGGGTCTCTTTGGTGGGACCCCTAAATCCTAGAGCATTGGTCTCTAAGGTCTACTTGCCCCTTCCTTTTTGTTATGGGACTCCCCGGCAACATATAATAACGTCTCCCACTGATCCGCATGTTTTTTTCAATAGTCAATAGTCCTCCAAAGCATCTAAAGCATTGGCAGCATGTGCTGCTGGGCCCCTGGGCCCTTCTGGGAGCTGCGGCGATTGAATCGTTGTAGCCAAATCAGCCAAAGCCTTTTCGACTGTCTTAAGGCGATCTTGCCATCGTGAGAAACTTCTTCGCCGTCATTTTTCTTTGGAGCCAAGGGTCCGTTTTTGGAGCTCCAAAGCCTGATGATCTTCAAAGCCTTTCCCCAAAATTGATCCATACTGTTCTTTGTAAAGCTTCTTGGCCTCAAACTCTCGCTGGACGGTCCCATATCTTTTGGCGAGTTGAAGTGCTGAGAGGCGGACGGTGATGAGAAGCACGTGGAAAAAAAAACAAAAAAAGAATCAAAAAGAGAGTGCTCTCAGTGCAGGGACTCCTGCATGAAGCATGGCATTTTGGACTTCGACAATTGCATCCCTTGTTTTATCATTCACCTGCAACAAATATATACTTGTTCATCAGGTGTTTGCCATCTTGGTCACACGCGCGGACATGGACATAGAGAAGGGCATCTTTGTGCTGCTGCAGGGCCTCTTGTGCAGTTGTACAGGCCTTCTGGAAACTGCGCTCTTGTGCGAAATGTGCCAGTTCTTCACACACAACTACCCGCACGTCGTGTGCCTGTAAAAGTTTTGGTCCGTCAGGTTATGACATCTAGCACACTCACAAGCCATGCTCTTGACGCCCTACCGATCTTGGTAGTTGATGTACTTAGTGTCACTTTGCCATTCTTGTCAAGCACTATGGCCTGATGCTTATCGAAGAAGGTTTGTGCATTCAAATCAAGGCAAATGCGAGCCGTATCATGGAGGTCTCGCACTTGCACAAAAACATATGTTGCTTTGCCTACCAGATTCATCTGCTCCTTCAATGTAGTCTTTTCCACATCATTTTTCGTTGGACAACATCCACATCTGTCACGAGAACAGGAACCAGGTCGGAGTTCTGCACCCCGGTGGTAGCATATTTGGGTTGTGTAATCCATGGAGTCACCAAACCGGTCGAGATTGCCGATGTATTCTGAAAGGTCTGGCCAAGAACACTTATAACTTATAACTTATATGTCACATCTATATGTAAATCTATTGCATCAATTAAAATTATTGTCTCTGCGTTTCCCCATTTCTTCCAACTATGACGAATAGGCTTTCTGGCTTTCACGCTAAAGGAACGTCCAGATTTAATGCATGAATATGAAGTCGTTGCCTGGACAATGTGCATAAGAGCCATCATAGACTGCACTAAAAGAATTTAAGACCTGCTTTCAACACATTCGTCCTGCCATGGAAATCCATATGGCTCATTTCAACTAATCGCAAGTATGGGTTTCGACATGTGTCGGCGGCGTGGGCGGGGGGGGTCCTTGACCTCAAAACCAGCAACCGAAATCCCCGACACATCAGGGAGATGTCCGATCATCACACATCAATACCATTGCGCTGCCGAGCCCTGATATTCTTTGAGCACACAGGTGCCACATGCCAGTGCTTAAGACGTGGCATCGCCATGCATCACCCACAGTGACCACCGGTTGTTTCAAGCAGCGTTACAAAAATCTACTGTCATAGATGACACCTCTAGTTTTTGAAAAGGTGATTGCAACGGCAGGCTCACCCTGAATGGTGCCCAGTTTGAAGGACCCGCCGAACAGCTGATCGTTCCTCCCAGTTTACACCTGCCCCAAAATCCAACTGGTCGCCTCAAACTGGTCACCCCACACCTCCCGGCCTTCTTACAGCGTCGGACCTCGGTGGCCGTCCTCCGGTGTTGGAACTTCACCTGTGCCCACGGGTTGCACGCAGTCAGCGCTCGCGCACACGAGGCATGCCTGCGGCGCTTGGCGCACGCTCGCGGCTTTTCGTGGCTGCCAAAAGTTTTCGATCCCACAGCCAAACTCTGCATGGGTATCAGAGCATCGTCCATTGACAATTCGCAAGCAACAACACGGCGAAAATTGACTTGTGCCGTGTGGCTTTTGTTCCTGACGGAGCTAGAACACGGGACACACCTCACTCACTCAGATCTGCAATGGTGGCCAATGGACTTGCCCTGCAGATCGAGGCCAACAACTGTCCATCAGGCAAGACCAGACGAAGATTTTGAAGGCTAACCTGCAAGTCACTGGCAATGCGCTTGTGAGTCTCCCAGGCCGGGTCCGACGCTTTTCCTCTCAATCGCAATACCTCATGTCCGGCCAAATCACAGCATGTCAGCACCGCTCCATCATCTTCCAGGGCAGCGCGCAATTGCAGAATGTAGTCTTTGCCACAAACAAAAAGGTAGCTACCGGTTGCAAACACGGGAATGTTGCATTGTCCTTCTTCGTTCATTCCGCAAGCAACAGCGCTCCCATCGCTTCGCAGAAGTACTGCATGACAACCTCCTGCAGAAACTTGGGTGTAGCACACTCCCTCCTCCAAAGGTGGAATGTCGCATTGTCCATGATAGTTCGCCCCGCAAGCAACTGCGCTCCCATCACTTCGCAGAAGCACTGAATAAGAAACTCCTGCAGAAACTTGAGTGTAGAACATTCCCTCCTGCAAAGGGGGAATGTCGCATTGTCGGCATTCGTTCATTCCGCAAGCAATGGCTCTCCCGTCACTCCGCAGAAGCACTGAATGACGAGATCCTGCAGAAACTTGGGTGTAGAACACACCCTCTTCCAAAGGTGGAATGTCGCATTGTCCATCTCTGTTCGTTCCGCAAGAAACAGCACTCCCATCACTTCGGAGAAGCATTGAATGAATCGCTCCTGCAGAAACTTGGGTGTAGCGCACACCCTCCTCCAAAGGTGGAATGCTGCATTGTCCATCTCTGTTCGTTCCGCAAGCAACAGCGCTCCCATCACTTCGCAGAAGCACTGAATGATGATCTCCTGCAGAAACTTGGGTGTACCTAATTCCCTCCAAAGGTGGAATGTCGCATTGTTCAGCGAAGTTCGTTCCGCAAGTAACAGCGCTCCCATCACTTCGGAGAAGGACTGTATGGAGATATCCTGCAGAACACATCGTGACAGACTGGAGAGGAGAAATCCCTTAAAACGATTGCAGTTTGGGCCAAAGGCTATGTTTGATGTTGTGTCCTTCGTTCTCCTGGTGTTGTAAGTGATTGGGAACCCAACGACACCTTCCCATACGCCCAACTCAGACCTGCAACGACGTGCGCGACTTGGGACTGGATGCGATCCAAAAGGATCTAAGTCCATTGCGCTTCTATGGTTGTTCCGCAGTAAACCAGTTGGATGCGACAAGGCTACCCATTAACCATGAAGACCAGATAAGACAAGACGGTGGATCAATCCTAAGTGTGTTCATGGAAGAGTTTTTCTGGGTGAATGGATTGGAATCGTGGCAATTCTGCAGGTTCCGTCCCTGCAGCACTGGTTCCGTCACTTTGGAGAAGGAATCAGGAGACATGAGAAGGAATCATAAGGAAACCATTTTTAGTGTGCCACAAGGTGTTCAATCGTTTCTATTTGGGTTGACCAACCTCTCTTGTCCCAGACTCCCCTCCCGATTCGGCGCCGCCGTGGCGCTGCCGCGCTGCCTCAGGTGGAGGTGATCTGGAGGGGGGAGCTCTCCGCGGCCTAAGTCGGAAGGAGAGTGAATTAGCTGGTTCACATAGGATTTGTGAAAGAACTCTGCGCAATTCCGAGAGGAAACTCCAGATTGGGATGGGACAAAAGAACTGGCAATCGTGATCAACAACTCTTTCTTTGTCCTAATCCTCACCTAAAGCCAAACGTCTCGAAGTACATGTGCCCAATGTTTGTTGGAACTTGAAACCATGAAAAGGTGGGGAACGTAAGATTTGGCGCCTTACCTCGGAGTGGAGAGATCAGCTTTTCCAGACCGCTCCTTGAGGGTCTTGTCACCTCTTCTGCTTCGTATGGCTGCCTAACCAATTTAATTCACTATTCCTTTGCCACTCCAAAATATACCATTCGTTCAAGGCATCAAAACCCGGATCTCTGGTGATGTTGAACGGACCCTGAGGCATGGACAGTGGAAGTGATAAGGTCACAAAGCCACGACAATCCCTCCTTTGGAGAGGCCCCTCGACTTTGAGAACGAGGTGGAAGCTTCACCCCTGCATCATCCGGCTTGTTGCAGTGACAAATCGAATCAACCTAATTAACCCTTTACTTGGAGCTTCACCCAACTGGTCGGTTGGTCACCCCGAAACAGCCCAGCCTGTGGGCTGCTGGGCACTGCAGTGGAACTGCCTGCGATGGACTGGGAGGTTTTCTTCGGTGTCAATAATTGCATCAGCATGTGTGGCTGTGGGTTCCTGTTTCTCTTGTGGTGCCAGGGATGGACATCTGACTTCTTCCAGAACCACTTCACCAAGTGGAATCAAGGGTTTGTTGTTCCTCCTGTTGGAATCAGGAAGTATCAATAGCAGGCTATTGCAAGGACCTCTGTTAGTAATTATCATCCAATCGACCGGTTCTCAATCCGCTGCGTATGATCAACAAAGTACCTTGAAGGTTGACCATTCCCTTTCTTGGATGCTTTGTGGCTTCAAAAAGAAACCGGAATTGGTGCGAAGTAAACCGCACCTCAGTCGCTGTAAGGATCGGCCTGAACCTGTTGGTTGTGACCTTGCGACTTGAGAGTGACCTTGTTGAAGGGTCACACGCCTTTATATTGAAAATTGACCGGACGCTGTCCCCGGTCCCCCGGTCCTACACGTTTGATATACATTGAATTCTAAACATGCCTTTGTTTTAATATATACAGCAACTAACTAGATAGTAATGTTAGCAATTGTTTTCACTGATCCTAATCAAAAGTAGAAGCTGGATCGATAGAAAAGAAAGGCAAGGGACGTTGACTCTCTAAGATAAAACTATATTTCTCTATACAATTAAAAAAAAGAAAAATCATAAGGAGCATTTGGCAAAGGCTGGGAGGGTCGACCAAAAAAACACAAATCTAATTCATTCTTTTTGGTCGACCCCCCCTCCAGACTGGGAGCCTATGGAAAAGGTTGGGAGGGTCGACCAATTTATTCTTTGGTCGACCCCTCTCCCAAGAAAGAAACTCCAGCAAATGCAGGAAAGTTGGATATGTTTTACAGTATATTATATATTTTGGTCGACTCTTCTCTGAAGAAAGAAGAGTTGGAGCCTTCAGCCAAGTCTAGTAGAGCAGAGTGAAAAAGACGCTTTTTACTTGTGAAATTAAATGTCACTTTTTTTGAATGTATAACCCCTACTTTATACTGAAGCATGCTGGTATTACAATATATGTTAAGATTGATGCTTTCATCATCAAGGCTGAAGATGAAAAGACTCCAAGGGAGTAGCTTTTACTAAGATTGGAGGTTGGAGAGTAAGCAAGTATGTGGATATTAAATTACCCAATGAATCCTAATGAACTTTACCAAGTTGTAGAAGATCAAATTGCAGAAATACCAGCATCTAAAGATAGATAAATTCAAAATGATGAGTATGACATTGATACTGATGATATTGTTAGTGACATTGAGAAAGTGAACCAGGTAGTGATTAGGAGATCTTTTGCAGGAGCAAACAAAAAGTCATATCTGCCAGAAAATGGTTGATAATGGCTACACAATATTATTTGAATGCACTACCAATAGGTTATCACATTAATTTGAAGTTGATGCCAGAACAATGAACGATAACAAAATTTGTTGTATAATTGTTGGTGATATTTAGATGGAACAAATTAACTATTTAGAATTTGATGTCAGAGCAATTGACCAATTCTATTTCATCGGTTTGAGTATTTATTGCAAAGCCACATAGTTTGGTGAGCAATATGTTTTTGCAACAAGTGATGCCAAACAACTACAACCAGTTCAGGAGCTGACAATATAAAACCTACATAAAACTGAAGCATGCTTGTATTACAGTGTGTTAAGATTGATGCTTTCATCATCAAGGCTGAAGATGAAAAGAATCCAAGGGAGTAGCTTTTACTAATAAGATGGGAGGCTGGATAGTGAGCAAGTATGTGGATATTGAATTACCTAATGAATTTTACCAAGTTGTAGAAAATCAGATTGTAGAAATACTAACATCTAAAGATAGATAAATTCAAAATGATGAGTATGGTATTGATATTGATGGTATTGTTAGTGACATTGAGAAAGTGAACCAGGTAATGATTAGGATATTACTTGTACAAGTAGGATCAAGCAAAAGTCATATCTGCCAGCAAATGGTTGATAATGGCTACACAATACTGTTTGTATGCCTTACTAGTAAGTAGGTTATTAATTACACGAATTTGACGGTGATGCCATACCAATAAACAAGATTGTTGGCATACGTTTTGGAAATTGCCTGTCTATTGTAAGGCCAAATAGTTTGTTGAGCAATATGTTGTTGCCACACGTGATATCAAACAACTAAAATCAGTTCATGAGCTGGCAAATACCAAAGATTATGAAACAATATGCTGATACAATGATTGACAACATGTTGAGCATAAAGTGCTGAACATATATAAAAGATTGAACACAAAAGAGGATAAACAAAAGCTAAACAATATCAAGAACTATACGTTTGTAAATACTCAAGACTCAAAAGTAAACTATTTGAGAAATACTTTAGATATACCAATGACATTGCATCGTCAACATACAACATAGCACATTTGAATAAGACCTAGAAACAATCATATGAATCATATGTTTGGGTTTGAAACACGCTGAAAACCACGTATTTTGGGGGACCTGGTGGCGTCCCACTCTCTTTTGTTTCATGAACAGCCAACATTACACCTTCAGTCTGAGGGTTTTCACCTGGTCATATAGGATTTGTTGGTTTGCTGGAGACCAGAGACCCTCGATCAACAGGGTGATGTCACGCACCGAGTTCTTTTGCGAGCAACTCTGTGATCCGTGCGAATGTCGTCGTGAACGTCGGCTAAATTGGTACCGGAACGCCTCATATGCATCTCATCGTGGGCCAGTGCTGAATCTGCCCTCCCATCCACTGATCGAACTGTTAGTTCCTTTTAAAACCCAGAGACCAACAAATGGTATTTCGATAGTTCTTGGGGACCAAGAAAAACCCGACCTCTGAGGAACATCCCCAGCTCACAAACCAGCAAAGTCAGGTCTCACCCGAGCGCATGGTGAACACAGAAAGCGCATGGTGAACTTGCAAGCACCTCTCTGGCTGATGCTGTGATCAACGAGACAACAATATACAACAATATAATAGAATCAGAATATATAATAGAATAAAAGGACTGCATGGTGAGATTGTCTGGGTGAACCGCAAAAAGTACACTCCTGGAATCATCACGGAAGTGGATGCCATGGCCCCTTGGAGGACCATGTTCTTCTACAAACAGGTGGTTTTCCACTTCCGTGATTATTCAAAGGGGTGTACCATGTCTGGCAAACCCACTGGGTGTCTTGTTGACTACCTCAGCTTCTTGCTTCTTCGCACTGGGGCCCACTCTACAGTGCCGTACCCATTGCTTCTGGCGCATAAGGAGAGCTTCTGGCCGAAATCCTCTTGCTGGGTAAGATTGGCAAGTCATAGCGCCATGTTTGTTCATGTCAGCCGAATCTGAGCATCACATCTGACCATCTCACTCTCCCATCCAGATCTTTTTCTAGCAGTGGATCCCCCAAATTCTGGTCAAAGGAAACATGAACTGAACTACTAAACCTATGGTCCACCAAAGTCAGTGCCCACCTCTACCCCCCACCTCTACCTCTGGCACTGATCTGTTTTTGCAGTTCACCTGTAGATGGGGGAATGATGCGGAATCTGTCACTGATACTATCCAAACACACCAATCTTCGGCTCATACTTCGGCTCTCGCCAGACATCACCGGGCCGCAGCGTTACCGCTCGCTCACTCTGAAATCACTGGCTGCTCGTCCTGGCGGTGAGTGAGTTGCGCGAATGGATACTGCCAAGCGAAATTGAATTGGACAGTATAGGCTCAGTAGGCTACTGTCACGTCTCCAGGCAGTTTTCAGGACATCGCCCTTCTCTTCCACGCAGCGGAGCTGCCGTGCCGCCGAGCCTTCCCCGTTTTTCTTCCCAAGCGCCGCAGGACAGGCTGCCAAGGATGGGACAAACAGACGTCTGAAAAGCGTCCGAAAAATGGTGACACACCGAAACGTCCCGGTCAACAGACCGGGGGAACGTCCCGGTCACCGGTTTCATGTTCTTCGTCTGTCATGTTCGCTCTCAGCTTCGATGTTTGTGTGTGATGGAGCCGACAAGGGCGGCAGCTGAGAAGCGGCAGCAGAGTTTTACACTCTGACTCACGTTCACATGGAAGTGGATGACATCGCCAGAAGACGAAGTGGTATGTAGATGTATGGAAGCAGGGTGGTAGGGGGGGTATTTAACTTTTCATGGTGAACAACCACCAAACCCGTGAACATGAGTCGGAGTGTAAGGGGAGGTGGTCGAAGTTGCAATCTCACATGACATCTGCAGGTCTTCGCCCGCGCCGCGCCGGCTGCGCCATGCACACTCCGCGGGGCCTGGAACGATGTGAGTTGAGAGGTTCACTACAGCTTGTTCGGCTATGCGACTACAGGTTGGTCCCTTGTTTCAAGGTATGGCATGGTGTCTATGGATGCAGAGCTCGAAGAAAATGTGGTCAATCATGTCCAAAAGTAAAATTGTAACTGGATGTGAAATATGAGTTTGATCTCGCACAGAATGATGGTGAACTTGAACCGAATACCTCCTCAAACCACTATTGCAATCGAAGTACAACTTAAAATACTTTTATAGTAGTATAATAGTTGCACGATGTTGCAAGCATTGTCTACTTTCTCCATTGCCACGCAATCCAACCAGAAAAGAACCCAACAATATGTAAACTGACGTCCAAGCAGCGAAGCAGCGCTTGTGCTCGCGTCCAAAGATCCATGATCAGCTGTATGGGTATCCTTCTCGTTTTCCCTTGCCACCTTTGCCACCTTTGCCACCTTTTCCTTTCCTGAGCAGTACAGGCACGGATGGACAAATGCGTCACTCGATGCACAACTGGAGGAATAGGTTGGGCTCGGTGACGCATAGGAAGGATGTCTGCTCCACATGCATACTTGCAAATGACTCGTGCATGGATGCAACAAAAAGATAACAAAAGTATAAAGTATATGTCTGATTCTGTGAAATGTCTAGTCTATACGTTACGCGAATAGATACTGTATCTACATGTACGGCACCGTAGAGCTAGGTCAGGAAGGCGGTGATCGAAATGCCACTTGCATCCAAGGTGCCAACCTCCATGGTGCCAGCCACCATCTTGCCAGCCACCATCGTTCTCCCAAGTGTCATGCTTGTGTTTGCCCTTCCCCTGCGGGTGGAACCCACTGTGTGGTCAGGTCGGGACGGGACCCGGTCCCCGTGAGTCCCATTTGGCCAAAAGGAATTGGACCTGGACTCCTATTTTGGGGAAGCAGTTTGTAAAGAGGAGACGAACAAGTTTGGTGTGCCTGAAGCAGGAGAAAAAAAGGAATCATTTGTGCTGTTCCCCTTGAGCTGAAGCCTTCTTGGAAAGGGTCTGGTCTGCATCGATAGACAGGTTTCGTGTGCCTTCGGGTCTGGTTGTGCATATGTCTATATAAGTGTGCTAAGTCTGCTCAGTGTCAGTGTTTCTCAGTGCGAGCATAGTGAGTGGTGCTGGTTCCGCGCAAGGGATGAATGGCTATGTTCCTTCAAAAGGCAGATCTATCCCATCATGCCTGGTCGCGTTTGCCTTTGCCGCCTTTACCTTTGCCTTGGCCGACCAAGCTCTGAACATGCGGAGAAGGGCACGTGATCTCACAACAAGCTCTGTTCGATCAGCAAGGAGTGTGAGACTGATTGATTTACACCAGACGCAAATACTTGGAGATCACCAGTACCATCCTGTAACCGTAACCACATTGGGATTGGTAAACATGTCACGTGGACATGTAAACAAACCGTTGAAAGAACATGATGGCCTACATGGACCAGGCAAATCTAAGATCTCCTCCAAGAAGCCTTTCCTTCCAGTCCCCTCAGATACCTCTGGGGCATCAGTGGCCTGGGAACAGGCTGACAAAGGGCTCTTGGAAGAACAAAAGAGCCTCGAATGAGATATGATGAGATATGCAAGGCCTTTCAGAATACATACCTAGCTTGGGTGCCAACATGGTGTGAGTGATTCCTCTCCCTCTCTCTCCCTCCACCTGCCTTTGGGGTTACGTCCTTCAGCAATGCACTCAGCGCCTCTGCTGCTGCAAAGCCACTCCTGAATTCCCAGGAAGCCAACGGTCGCATGAGTGGCCCCACCCCCTCACCATGGAGGCCGGCGCATCCCCCCAGATGTGGCCTGAAGGACATTCATTCATGTCATGTCCTGAGGCCTTCGAGTGCTTGATGGAGTTTGGGTCGGGTCATTTTTACACAAACACATGGAGGTGTGGGGTCAAAGGATCAAAACTACGTAACACCGGTCACCATGGTAGGTTGATATCATTTTGGGAGTCTTCCCCCAACTCCCGGAATGTCATAACCCCCGAGCAATGTCTGCAGTTCAAGCTCCTCACGCAGCCACTGAAGCTGGAGCTTGTAAAGTAGTCACCAGCAAGAAGCAGTGGTGGAGCGCTGGTCACAGCCATGAAAGGTACCGCCTCCGATGTGACCTGAAGTAGCGAAAGCAAAGACTTGCGGCATCATGCGGCATCGGCGTCTGCATGAAGCAAAGATGAGCAAAGAGATTGAAATAGGATGTGGTATATGGCTCAACAATTAAGGTATACTGCCCTCCAACAGTGACTTTTGACAGACCCCATGTTTACAATGACCACATTGGAATACTTTAGGGGGTGAGAATCTAGATTTTCCAGTGGACACGCTACTGTCACTAGGATCACTCACAAAGTGGCTACTTACTTTGGTTTAGATGCGGCCAGCAACAGTCCACAGTGACCATAGTGTTCAACTTGCAAGCAACAGGTATAAGTCAAACCACACAGTGATCGTTCAACTTAATTGTTCTTCCTGCCTTGTTTCCAACACTGCTGTCAACCTTCAATCCACTATCATTCTACAAATCATCGCAACCAAAAGATCAACCAACATCAACGCATAAGTCTCCGTTTGTCTGCAACGAGGCACAGGCCTTTGAACTTGGCATTGCTTCCAGGTAATCACTTTGGAAGTACTTGTCAGCTGTGAAAGCGGACCTGCCAACTAGAGAAACGAAGACCAGCTTCTAGACATTGAATCTAGCTTCGGTGCAGTGACTCCTACACTAATTTGGCCTAATTATGCAACAACCTGAGGTCAACTGACTTCGGAGCATCGTGTGAGAAATACTCTTGGATTGAACAGTTTGGGTCAACAAACCTACGAATCAAACAGTCGCAAACAGCTGCATCTGAAGCGCCAAAACTACTAGCATTTGCCCATGGGACCGAAAGCTCACGACCAGCACGGCTTGGCTGCACCAGGCCACTCCATTCAAAGAGGAAAAATCTTGTGAATTCTTCTTGTTTCTAATCTTCAGGTCATCACACCCACCTCACACCCAACTAAGCTGAGCCTTCCAAACCAATGAGCTTCTGCACATGGGCAGCCATTTCCCTCAAAAGCCGTTCATCCTTCCCACCGCGCTGCGCATGGCGCTTGGCCCACTCGGTGGTGCTATGGGCCACCACGACCGGGCTGGACCTCATGCTGAGGTGGTCACCGATCATGGTCAAACAGAACGACGGTGAAAGAAGGAAGAACCCAAAAGAAACGCGCAGAGTTGTTCAGAACTTCTAGACGTTGGGAGAGGCTCTGAAGCCGAGGTAGCCTCTCAAGCGATAATTTGGAGATTTGGAGAGATTGAGCAGCCTTGATGGACGTCCAGCAATTTCTTTGGCACCGGGTCAGGGCCTAGGATGGCCTAGGTATCCCTAGGTCCTGGGTCAAGCAAGCAACACTCTGCGCTCTTCCGTTCAGCTAAGCACCAAGCGCACTACTCTCTAAGCTGACGATCTCTGTCTTTCGAGATTGATAGCACAGCAAATGAACCACTTCGTCGTCCACCAATTTCCTGGCACAACGACGTCGGTTCAATGGGTCGAAACATGGGTCGTCTTCAAGCATGCACAAGTCGATGAGACGGGTCGAGCTTTTATGGCAACATGAGACGTGGGAAAGTGCCATGAATTAGTATGTGAATGTATAAAATCAATGCAATGACTCAGGACTAAAAACTGATACAAGTGAGATCAAGTGAGCAAAGAACACTTTTAAAAAAACACCATCTTTCAGGCTCGCCCATGTGAAACGACCTGTGACAAAGCAACTAATTGTCACATGCTTCTACGCCATCGATGGTCACATTCGCTTCGGCACCCCGTCCGAGGCTCTCCACCACTTTGGGGCCAAAATAGCGCTCGCACACCGCTTGGCAGTCGCTGGGCAAAAAGAAGGCGAAGGACCAGCGCTGATCATGCTGAGCCGCCTTGGGCACCACAAAGGGAAAAGGAGGAGGGGCTGGGAAGCATGGGTGTGAACAAACCACCTCCCATGCTTTCCTGTGCACTGCTTGCCTGGTGTCAGGAAGGTGTGAGGCTCAGGGCACATACGTCTGTGGCTCTTCCCGTTGCATACTTTTCTGGGAAACATCCACTCACGGCTTGGAACTGCTTTCATGAAGCTCCAAGAACCCCTTGTTTGCGGGGCCCAAACATAGGCCCATTTGGGTCCAAGTTTCGACATGTTTGGACTAGATAGATGAATCGGTAATCATCTGGGTAAGTCAAACAAGCTTCTTACTTACCCTAGGGATCCAGTCGTACCGAACCTCAGAAGGTACGACTGGACCCTCCAAACCTACATAACACCTTCTGAGAAGGTACTTCGATCCCTAGGGTTAGTAATCTGTTGGTTGGTGTAGACCCCACAGTGAATGGCTGGAGGGATCCTGCCCTCTGAACAAGTTCAGGGGAAGAACTCAAGACCAATCTATGTCGTTGCAGAGTGACGTTGGGTGACGTTGTTGCAATTCTCACGGACAAATTATATCTATATATATATATATGAAACTGAAAGAATCATTGTGAACTGCCAACATGATTTCCTTATAGTTCCTTTCATTGTTGTTAATCCTTCTTCATTACATGAAGGACAAAAACACGCAATGAAGGTTACAGCCTACACACAACAAAAATGCCTAAGGAAGGATGTCCCCCAGTGGTGATCACATGCTTGGAAAGTGATTGTCTCAACTTATATAGTGACTAGTTTGTCGGAAAGCATCAATAAGCCGCCAGCAAGCCACCATCAGTTGCTTGTTCTGATCTTGCTTCAGCATCCCTTCCCAGCTCCCGTGGATTTTCAGGAGATTGTCGCCACCTGGACAAGGCTCACGTTCTTTCTCACGGGAAGCCCCTCGGCTTGATTCGACAGCGAAAGACAGTGCTCCGCTTCAGTACCGGGGCGGTAAGCGCTTTCAAGATACGTGATCTGCCGAAGCAACATCTTGAACCACCTGTGTTGAAGCTATGTGCTAAATCAACAAAGTGCTTTGCAGGGGGGGGCACAGTCTCTTGCTTAGCCCTGCCTACTCCGCAGCCAGGAACTGCGATGAGCACTGCGTCAAACATACCTGGATGGAGGCTGCGCGGAGAGGCGGCTCAGGTGTCTGGTTGAACACATGTCAGGCCTGTCAGGCATGGTCAAAAATGCAGCCACTCCAACTGTTGTCTGGATTGATTGGGAACTGTGGATTCTCCAGCAATCAAAGCAGGACATTCTGCTTCTCACCTCTACATGTCTTTCAAACCCTGCAAATCATCAGCCCTCCATACATCCCCATGCACATCCCATACACATCCATCTCCCGCCTGGCGCTCCTTCGAAAGGTCGAGCGCGCCACGATCCACTCTGCAAATCCAGCGAAGCCACGCGCTTCTCGTAATGAACCGTGGCATCCGCCTCTCTGCTGCGCTTCGGCTTCGTGCCCGGTCGACTTTCTCAGCCGAAACGCGGCCGAGAGGTGACCGGTGGACTTCTTCGTGGGCTTGGGCGGAGTGGGAAAAAGATGTGTCCTGAAAGAAGGGGTGGTGTTCTTCCAATCATTACTTCAAATAGATGGTGGTGTTATGTGGTGTTTGTGTTTTCCTGTTCTCCTGCTGTTCTTCTTTCTCGAAGTGGTGTTCTAATTTTAAGCATGAAACAAGCATCGAACCACATTGATTGCTCAATATCCCAATCCCCGTCTATCACTCCCGTAAGTCTCCCTCCGATAGACTGGTCCTCCTCCAGGAGCGTCTTCAGCGCATCATTGACACCACCGGCCGTGCCTGTGAATCAAGCAGCGCCAGGAATCATGTAGTTTGCTTCAAACAAGTTGGATCAAGTTGGGGGCCAAGTTGGGGCCTATATTCAGATCCAGAATGTATAACCGGTTCTACCTGCTTCAAGACTGCAGCTCACATGCAACGAAGAGAACAGCCAAGCACCGAGCGAATAAAGTTCATCAAAGGCGACACATGGCGACACGCAAGACTGGGAATATTGATTTAGTGGATGATAGGTTGTAGAAGCTGGCAGCTGGCATTCCATTACTGTAAATGGCTTGAGGATGGCTCCTGAAATGCCCCCCCAGAATTGCCCTATCATCAGCTTCATGGCGCCGTGATGTTTTGATCCATTTTCTCCAAGTGCACAGGTAAATCAAACCCAACAAAAGCATACATCAGCCAAGTCAAAGCAAACAATCGAAATGTTGCCCAAGCCAAGCTCTTGATTCATCATCTTTGGTAAGCCTGAAAGTCTTTGCCATGTCTCAGCCTTCCCACCCACTTGCTTCGTTTTCGCTTTGTCAATGGCTCCACCCCCCTGCTTCGCCCGCTCCGGGACCTCGCCTGCCAGGTGCTTCGCCCGTACCGGGCGCTCGGGGGTGGCGGTCAAGAGTTCCGGGGAGACCTGCGCCGGATGGAGAGAAGAGAAGATCAAAGGCTTCAACCAAGAAAGGGGGGCGGGTGAAAGATTCATCTATAGGATTCTAATGGATTCTATAGGTCCAGTCTAGGACTGGAATGCTTTTTCTTTGACTTTGTTTGAAAGACTTTTTTGGGGGGTGACGGACGGTGGAAGGCCGAAGTCTTCTGTTTTTCTTAGTCTCTTGATGTCTCTTGAGCCATGAGAGTGCTATCCACCTCCATGATGGATGCTTGAAGGGTCTTACACCGCTTGCCATGTTGCTTCTTCTTGTCTGACGCGTCTTGGGCGTCCACAGAGATATGTCCAACCTGCCAACCTCCGCCTTTGGCGCCCCCTTCGACCTGTCTCGACATGTCGGTCTTCTCGCCTCAGCGCAAACACCCGAGGACAACAACCTCTCAGCCACTTGCATGGTCGCGGAGTCGGACTCCTCCACCGACACGTACCTCGGAGGTACTCCGTGACGGAGTCACTCCGTGCGCGAGTGAACAGCAATGAACGGCCATTGCTCAATGAAAAATCACATGAAGAGCCACTGGTCAAACATGGTCAAACAATCTAAAAAGGAACACTTCGACTAAGACCTGTGGGTTTCTGGGTCGTGAATCACAGCACTCGGTTTCAGATTCTCAAAGGCCCCATTTTAATGCATTTTTTAAGACCCAAAGCAGGACGCGCGGCTGAGCTCCCATGTCAGCTCGCACAGTTGCACCGCTGACTTCTTGGCGGTTCGTGCTCATCCGGCCTCCTGATCACGAGACTGGGATGATGATGATGATGATGATGAGGAGGAGGAGGAGGAGGAGGAGGATCACCGAGGAGGCTAGGATGATGAGGTACAGTAACCGTATGAGTCAAAGGTGGCCACGGCTGGCAAAGTATTGAACAAGTCATGAGGCTGGTGAAATCCTTTCCTGAGTTCTGTTTCAAATCCTCCGGAGACTGAGACTTTTGCTACCAACATCGACCCACAAACTCCCGCATCTACAAGTCTATCAGTGCAATCGGGTCTCCCGAAGTTGCAGAAGTTTCTTCAGTGGATCGCGAACCCGGCCACTTTGTATCATAGCTTGCAACCTTTCTCCAAATCAAAAGCTAAATTTATTAATCATTGATGAATCAACTATAGTAAAAGATAGTAAAGTGTTCCTTGGTGAGCGTTTCTCGCTCCTGGCCCACGTGCTTTCTCCCAAACCTCCAATTTCACCTGTCCCAATTGTCGCAGGCGCCAGGCCGCAGCGGAGCCCGTGGCCCCGGCGCCGACGACCAACACACGGTGCATGGCGGAATGGCGTTCAGCGTCAAAAGCGAATGGCGGTTGGGTCAAAACAAGTTCTGCAGGTGAAAAAACACCCTGAAAACTGCTGTTTTACAGCAGGTGAAGGCTTAATGTTGTGTTGCGTTCTGATCTTTTGTGATGTTCTGTTTCTGCATTCTTGACCAGTTCTGACGATTGACCTTCTTTTTGATTCACAGCCTGTGAAGACGAGTGGTAGGTTCTGCTTTTGTGTTCCTGACAAGTTCTGCCTGTTGAGCCCCTTGCTGTTTCTCAGCAGGTTAAGGGTAGTGAGAGTCCTGTGTTCGCGTTGTTTTGGACAAGTTCTGCCTGCTGACCGCCTCGATGTTTCCAATATATAGGTGAAGGCTAGTGGTACGACCCCGTTTCTGCCTTGGTTGTCCATGTCTGCCCTGCTTCCTGCTGCAGCTGGCAGCTGTAGGCTAGTGGTAGTTAAGTGTCGGCTCAAAAAGACAACCGTCTAAGTCCAATAGTATTGGGCCACTTAAGCCTCGCTACAGCTAGCCGGGAGTTTGTTTGTAGAGCAAATGATGACTACATATGACTTCAATGCAACAAATTTTATACTGCATGGGTAAGTCTCGCCATCAAACGCAAAGGGTTTTGTTTTTTGTGCAAAAGCCACACAGCCAGTGGGTCAAGTTTTTTTCCCCCTATTTTTGGACGAGTCAACGGGTGTTGCGGTGCTTTGCTCTTGTCTCAATCATGGCACGCCTGCTTTTTGTGGCTTGAGAGAAAAGTTGCTAGTAAACTCAAGCCACCACGGCGCAGGTGGTTGGGCTGTTGCTTCAAAAGCAAGATTAGCTGTTGCTCCTGCCGTCCAGGACTCGTCTCTTGACCACGTCTACACTTGAGCCTGGGGGGCCCACATACATCTCGACTCAACTAAGAACTCATGAGGAGCCATGAGGAGCCACTAGTGCCTGCTAGATGGCAGAGCCTCATGCGGTGGGCCTCCGTCAGTGTGAGCACATGCAGAGCGGCTGGAACACGTCCTTGATGTGCCGTTGCGTGGATCAACGCGCCATCAGTGTCGCTTCTTTTTCCTCTTCCTGTCCAGCCAAGCTGAGCTAGGCACTTTGGGATGAAGAGTGAGGTGGGAACCTCCATAGCTCAGTTCCGCGAAACCTGTTCTTTGAGTCTTGAGTTCGGCGTGTCTGAAGGATTTGCAAAGGACATCCATCGGTTTCAATGGGTTTCCAAGGTGAACGTTTGTGAGGAACCGGATGGGTCGCAAGTTGACTCTGTGAGGTGAACCTCTCCTTCCAACCAAACACGTCTCTGCTCTCCATCTAAGCCCCTGAAAAATCAAACATTGTATTATTATGTATTATTATCAAATAATAACAACAACCCCCACCCGCACCCGAGCTGCAACATCCTTTTCCTTTGCCTCTGAGTTCACGGCATTCCGGTGAACCCTTTCCCCCCCGCACGCGACACGCGCGCACACGACACGCGCCACGCGCGGCCTATCGGAGGAGGACTCTGAATCCTTTTCCTTCCTCCTCGACCGCTTGGACCGGCGACCTAGCACCGCTCGAGCACCGACGAGGACCGCGAACACCGAGACTGAAGCACCGGTGTGGCACCGGGTTGGTTCTAAAGACCCATTTGGGAAAATAGGCGCCGTTTGAGGTCCATTTCACCCTAGTTGTGAGGGTCAAAACCCTAGCGTCTGGGTATAAAACAAATCCCTACAAGTCCAGTCGGGCCAAACCTGGTCTGACTGACCTCATTGAGTACTGGCTTTGCATGACCAGATCCAGTCGAATGAGCTCCGTAAGACCTGTAGGGAAATGTCCATAGTTTGGAATTCTCGTCGAGGGTTGCGCCATCCTCTGAGCAGGACACCTCCCAAGCACCCCCACGGAAACTGGGACAATGTCTCGTGCTTGGGCTTCTCCCAAACACAGGGCCCTCCTAAAGATCGGTCTCCAGCCCCGCAGCATCCCACAGCGCTCTCTCTCTCTCTCTGCCTCCACTGGACTCGCTGGAATGCCGCGACTTCCTGGCGTCGTGGGCCGGTGGATCGCGACATCCTGGCGTGGGTCCACCGCTTTGCCCCATGAACCGAACGCTGAATCCCATGGATTGGTCCCCAATTCGATGACCTGACCCCCACCAGTGTGCCCCACACTAAGCACCGGTTCATCTCATGTTGATCATCCGAAAGATCAGTGATCATTGGCACATCCCAAGTGATCATGTTAGGCCGGTGCTCCCTGGTGCTTCCGGTCTCCAGCTAGCAACTTGCAATACATCCTTGAAGCTGACTGTTGCATCATCGCGCGATCTAAGCATCATCGAATCCTCCAAAGTGGAAGTGTTTTTTGTGTTTTGGTCACGGTGAATGTTTTTGTTATATAAATGTCACATGTGCCAGAAAGTTCTGGTTTTTCAAGCTCTTCAGAACAAAAAAAAGGGCGGGCGGTTTCACCTAGTGGTTCCTATATCACTCCAGATCCGGCCGTAGATAAACTGCTAACTAACAAACACAAACACATGCAAACACATCTTCCCAAATAGAACAGCATCAGCATGACAACAAAAACGGGTGCTAGATTGTTAAGAAACCTTGCCATGTCCTTGCCAATTTTGGTAGTTTTGCCTTATCAAGCTAACATTTGCAAATAATCGAAATGGATCGAAACCCGCTACCCCTGTCTCACGCACCAGGCCTCTTGCGATCACGACTGCGAGATTTACCTCACCAACCAATCCGCATAAACAATAAACTGTTGGGTTCGTGTCACTTTCATCTTGCTGCAGCTGGAAGTGACATTGGTCAGTGTTCCAGTGCGTTTGTTCAAAGGAAAACATTTGGAAATGGTGGAAGGTAAAAATTCTGATTACAGCATCCTACGGGTCCAACGGCGCTGTGGTCAGTAGAGCTGACCTCTACAAACCCCACCAATGGTGCCGACAACGATGACGATAACGATGAAAACGACGAGAATGACAAGGAAATGATGATGACCAAACATGCCGGCGACGACGATGTGGAGCGGGCTGAGTCACCAGCTCCACATGTAGGTTGTTGGATCTACAATTTTCCCAAAATGCGTCGCTGTACTCCGTCGGCACTGAGACCGCGGCTGCTTCGCTCGGATGCCTGGCTTGTTGCCACGCCGCCCAGACCCCACCATTGCAGTGGGGAAACCAACTGAAACCTCCAGCTTCGCCTATCTAGCTCTTGGAGATCGACAGTGAGAAAGCTTGGTGGAGGAAGTCGTCTTGCAAGGACCTATTTTCCATTTGTTCCGCCTCCGTGTGCCTTGACGGGATTTGAGGAAACGTAAATACGAGTCTTCCCAAACAACCCCCAACCCTTCTGAGTGAAGTGGCACACAGCCTCATGCAGACAGGGCGTGGGAAAGCTCCCGCTGCATCCCACGTCACGCGCAAGCGAGGTGCAAGCGACTCACCAACATGGAAATGGAGTGGACAGCCCCCAGCTTGTAGAGGAAAGTGGTCTTGAAGGGGTCCACAACTCACGATGTTAGTGAGTCGGAATGTCCACACTATAGGCCTCAGGGCGTTTCACGAAACAAGGTCCGTTTCATCTTTGGCGCTCACCGACGGCTGCGTCTCAGAAAGGAGCTGCGAAAGGGTGGAATGGATACATTAAAAGGAAGCGATATCAGCTGGTTCTGTACTTCTTTGTCAAATCCCCGGCCCATAGTGCCGCTCACCTCTCAGAAGATGCAACCACCATGCAGCAAGTCCATTGCACCATGGACGGAGTCCGACATGTCGATTAAAGTTCGGAAATGGTTGAGCATAACCAGCTGATGAAATCTTTAAGGAAATGAGGACCGTGTTTGAAAGAACATGTTAGATAGGCTGAGCTACCTTCCGACCCCTAATTTTGGATAGGCACAAGTGGTACATTGTGGGAGGTACATCAACTTGCTCCCCAAATCCAGCTCACAGGCCTTCACCAGATTCACCAGGGTGAACAACCAAAAAGAATCCCGAAGTGGTGAATTCGTGGGCGAAATCCTCCGATCGACGCCACTTTAGGTTCCAACAAACAAAGGCACTTATGATGAACGCAAAACACGGGGGGCACTACATCTTCACGATGAACATCGATGTGTTCGGATTTGGACGACTTCTCAAGATGCACGCTGCAGGACTGGACGATCGACTTCCAGCGAATCAGACCTCGACCTCCTGGGACCGACCGAACCTATACAAATGGCCTCTGAAAAATGAAGAACATGCATCAAGGATGAAGGACTACAGAGCTTGGCCTCTTGGCACTCAGTCAGGTGGCTGTCGAGGGCAGTAAGGTGGCGCCTCCTTTCGGATCCTTTCGGTCGCACCGGTTTCCGGGTGTGTTTTTCACCACGCCACACTTGCGACACCACTGGGTTCGACTGATTTCTGCTCAACGAAGGAGTTTCAATGTGTGATGTTCGGAACAAAACCCAGACACTCCATGTATGCCATATATGCCTACATTGGGGTGGTTTGAGGGGTCAATGTAGGCATATATGGCATACATGGAGTGTCTGGGAAATGGTGTGAGATCTTTCGGTCAACCGAAGCACGCATCACCTGGATCACTTCACGACTTCACGGCCCCATACGGCCCGGACGACCGGCCCCGAGACCTGCGGGTGTCGAGGACACGAGGGTAGAAACGAGGACACGAGGTGAGTGAGAACGAAGACTCGAAGTTCTACATGGACGGCGCTACTTATGGGGTACCCGGGTACCGAACTAGACTCGCAGAAGAAGAATTTGGAGATTCTCCCCCCCCCAAAACCTGCAGTGACATGGCTGAAAGGAATCCAAGGGGTGATCCAGGGGTGAGTTCAGCAACAACTTAATGAAGGAAGCTGGAGAAAGGCTGAAAATTCATCCAGGTATGGTAACAGTCTATTGTTGTCGAGCCCCTGCACAAGATTCTCTAGCTCGTGCCTAGCTGGATGAAAATTGATCTGAGTAAGTACGGCTGGTAATTGTGTTAAGACACTTTATCACATAAGAAATTAGACTCTACTTTCGGGGATGGGTTTTAAAATCTAGAGTCTAGATTCCGAAAAAAAAATATATATCAAACTCACCAAACCGGGTCAAAGAGAGAAAGAGAGGTAAATATGAAAGACGTCCACACACAACCTGGCGTTGCTACAGTAGCGCACAACCTGGCGTTGCTAATTCAGGCCTCACAGAGCTGTGAGAGTCTAAGGCACAAGGTCGGTGAAAACCCTGGTCGAACACATCACGCACTTTTTCGGCGGTTGCAAACTTTTGGAACATTTATTAAATTGTTGGATGATGTTGGAAATGCAGAAAAATTTTTCCAACTTTTGAAAATGTTGCAAACTTTGGAAAATGTTCCAAAGGCCCGCTCCAAACCACACAACATTGAAAATCTGCATCAGTGGTCTTGTGGAGGGAGAGCTTTTGGAGGACAACCCACCCCAACAAATGCACCAATGTTTCAGGCCTGATTCAGACCCGGCTCAGGTCCCGTTCAGTAAAAAGTATCGCTTCGAAGCCACGTACGGTAAAATGCTGCGGGGGGTGCCTACACACAGTCTAAAACAGGTCTGAATCACATCAGATTTGACAGGAGAGCGGCTGGTGGTCCATTGAGGAGTTTTTTCCACTCCTTGCCATTTCCATGCAAATTGCACTACAATTCCACGCGCGTTTTGTCACCCAATTGGAAATCGAAAGGCGCTGAATTGAACTTATTTGCATGGAAATGGCAAAGAGTGGAATAAACTCCTCAATGGACCACCAGCCTGTTTCAGACTGTGTGAAGGCACCCCCCCCAGTTTTTAAAAAAAGTTCCGTGCACAGTTAGAGATGAAGCTCGCAAATCCCTGGTCGCACCAGTACGGCTGTGGAAAACCCAAAATTAAGAAATTACAATCTAGACTCTAATTTGGTCGCGTATTTCTTATCCTTGATGCCTCATGTAAGAAATTTTCTAGACTCTACCCCAAAAAAACTGTGTTCTTACATATGTTCTTACTATAAAGTTCAGCCGTGCGTAGTTGTATGCTACGCTAGACCCATCCAGTGTTCTTTCTGTTAATCATTAATCCACAAGAGTTGATCCACCATGATCCACCATGACCCACCATACAGTAGAATCATATCCCAAGGCTCCACCCATTTAGAGTTGTGGGGAGGTTGTGAGAGATGAGTTTCTTCAGCTTAAATGATCGACAGCATGCAGCATGACCAGCATAAGATAGTTTCTGGACCCTCCCGGACGTCCCGAAGCATCCGAGAGGGGGTTTGCACGACGGGACACCAAACGTCTCGTCTCGTTGTTCTTCGGGAAAAACGTCTGAACGAACACAAACCAGGCTCTATTCGGCCATGTTGATGCCTCTTTGGCTTTCTTCTTGTTGCTTTTGACCACCTTCTCCTTAGCAGGCCATCTCCACGGACTGGGCATGCATGGACCGAGGATAACGGGTGAAAACGACCTCCTATGTCAAGAATTCCATACTCGTCTGGAAGAATTCCAGGATGCTGCAATAGACCGATGACGTGTTTGATGTGCTATAGAAAGGTCGTACTTCATGGCCCCCGACGATACTTCCTTTAGACAAAGAAGTCATACGCCATAGTTCTTCCACAAAACAACGGCTTCGTTGGAGTGCTCGGAGAGAAACAACGGTCACAAAGCCCAGCCCCGTCAGTGCCTTTTTTGGGGGGGGAATCTGCTTTTTCGGGGTGCCAAAGTGTCACAACTAAAAGTGGTCATGAAAAAACATGACAAAACGCGTCATCGCCATGGTTTGCACTTGCCTGTTATTGAACGCCACATGGCCATGGATTGGGCCACTGTCACCGTCCGGGCCACTGTCACTTTCTCAAACCCCCCCGGCCCAGTGCACCGGGGCGAAGGTTCGCCAAGCTTGAAAAGGTCTACGGTGTCTTCAGTGCACCGTTTTAGGAAGAGAGTGACTAAAAGGGAAAAAACAACATAACAAAGTATATTATTAATAATAAAAAAAAAACATATTAATTTATACTCCAGCGTTAATTCATATGAATTCTTTAGCTCTGACTCTTGCCCCAAAATTCACCATGAGTTAGTCTAGAAATGTCTAGAAGAATGATCTCCGGAGTTAATTGATGTTTGCCGGTTCTTCACTCCATTCTCACGCTTCAGTAGTCACCAGACTTCGGCTTCGATGGTGGATGGTGTTCCCCCAAGGTCGGATGAGGCCAAAAGAGAATGCCAACATCATCCATCCGCGGTTGCATCAAGTGGTGCATCTAATTTACAGTGGAACCAACATCGCCCAGCAATATGTGTCTGTTCTTCCCGCTAGACCTTCCTGGCACCCGGGGGGCCCGTCGCGGTCATCGCTCCATCCGGCGGTCCACGGCACCTTCTCCTTCTTCAGCCGCCCTTCGCTGCGACTGCGGCTCGCCACGCCTCCAGACCGGTCGGTCGAAGCGTTGATCGTTGGCCAGAATGGACCGCCCCACCGCCCCATGTGGTCAAGAACCGTCACGACCGGTCACGGTCAGAAGCGTCACATGGTCACATGAGTCACGAAACAAGGATGTCACATAGCTCGCAATCCCGCCGAACATCACCCTTGGCCCCTCTTTTTTTGTCCAAGCGTGCAATTATACAATTACAATTGACAAGTTCTTTAAACGCATGTTATAATATGTTGTAACGAATTGACGGTTAAATTAATTACTATAAAGCTATCAGTGCAGTAGCTTATGGACCAAAAAAACATCTTAAGTAAATATATATATATAACTCCTGTATTAATACTGGCTTAAAGCATCTATCTGAACAAAGTCTCAAGGCTGCAAGGCCAGGACCAAGAACATCGAGTTTCCAAGTCTAGAACCACCACCAACTCGAGCCTGGGACCAGGTGCAAAAAAATACGATATGATGATATGATCGTCCAGGAGCTTTGGACTGACGATCGGCCTTCCCCCCCAGACTGGGAACGAAAGGGGAACCACTTAGACAAACGAGTGGAGCGCTGTCCACGGTGGAAACAACGCACGCGAAAAAGGTGCGTGCCTTTCGTCACGGTGGGCTCCACCTGGAGATGTGGCGGATATTGGCGGATGATGAGGAGTTTGGAGGTGTGGTTTGAGCAGCATTGTAGCATGGTGGGCGTTGAGAATAAACGTTAAAAAAGACGATAGCTAAAAAAGCGACCACCAGCTTTCAAATGAACCATGATGAACCAAAAACCTCCGTACAAGCAGCAAGCACCTTTGTTTTAAAAACATGTTCAACCCCCCAACCACCATCGTACTGCTTCCCACCAGCTTGCGCAGCTTGGCCTTGGGCACCTCCGGCTGCGGCGGCTGCGGCTCGGGTGCCTCCTGCGATGCATCCCCTCCAGGTCACCCTCCCCAAATCCCCAACCCTCCACCCCCCCGCACCCACCTCCACCTCTGGAAAAAGGAACACATAAATAATATAAAACAATCAAATAAACATAAGCCACCATAAGCCCAGAGTTGGATCATATACACCATTGGAGTCGGTTAGGCTGCCTATTCTTCCCACCAAAACTTCAGAAAAACCAACCACCACGTCCAATTCTTCGACTCCGAACTCCACGTCCCTCAGTTCTTCGGCTCCCCAAAACCCACACGTTCCACACCACCGAAGGGACCGGACCAGCTCCCGGTGGTCCTCCGCCTTGGGTAGCGCCGGAGGAGGGTGGTCGCCGTCCTCGTCCCCCTCCTCACCTGGCAGAGATCAGTGGCAGCAGACTGGGCGGTGTCCGAAATGTGAAAAGGGTGGTTCCAGGTGGTTCCAGGGTCAAGATATGAAGAGCACCCCGCGGGATAGTTTTTGGGGGGCGAGAGTTGCAGGTGGGGAAGAGTTCTCTTGTACAAAATCTCGTGTGAGCGAGGCCAGGCGTGTGGAGGATTTGGTTGAGTGTTTCTGCAGGTTGGGCCTGGCGTCCCGACACCCACCAACATGCGAACGGTCTGGAGTACCAGACATCACCCTGGAAGAACTGGCGGCACCGTGTCTTTCAAAAATGAACGACTCAAGCTGACATGTTTAAGAAAAAGGCAGCGGCAGGCTGCAGGCTTGGATTTGAATTGAACATGAGGCATGTAGAGTTCCCTGTCCCATGGTGGGGATCACCTTTTCCCCAGTTCAGATCACTTCAGCAACCGCTCCCCGTCTCTGCGGTACCCGACCGTTCACGCGGAACGCGCCTCCGTTCTCCGCGCGTTCGCCACGTTCCTCATGGGCGAACAGAGCACCGAGGATGGGCACGTGACGGACTGCGAATGGCGAAAAGACTGCGTGGCATGGTGCTCATGGTTGTTTGGGGCACCACCGGAATGTGTCTTTTTATTGAAATACACAGAGTTAGACATGGATCCAAAGCAATATTAAGGAGACATAAGGAGACTCTACATGAGAAATCCATGAAAAAATCATTGAGAATCCAGCTAATCCTGGTAGTTCCTTTGTCTTCATGTTTTCTTTGGGGTCCAACCAACATCAACTCCACCGTGGCAGATCCACTCCATCCTGTCATGCCCATCTGCCCATCCACGTCGTACGAATCCGACGCCGGCGCTGCCCGGCGCTCCCAAGCTCCCGCGCGGACTGGCGCTCCCGCACAAAGGCCCGACACCTGTCTTCCAGTTCGAGATCGAGATCGGAGACTGGTGGCAGGGACTGGTGGCAGGGGCAGAGGTTGGAAACCAACAAGAAACAGGAAGGTGAAGGTGTGCCTACCCTGGGTTTTTTCGGCCTGGAGGCGAGCCTGCTCTGAAGTTGCACGTGTCATGCAAACAGGAAGGTTCAGATCGAAGAAAACCCTAGCACTAATTAAGAGATGATATAAACAAAACCAGGGGAGGTTTATAGAGTTGCACAGCTGCTACTTGGGCGGACCATCCGAACTGCCAGGTGCATTGGGTAGATGAGTGTCTGCCCTCCCAAGTGAGGCCATGGGCCACAGTGCCCGGCACTCGCCTAGCCATCATGTCTTCAACTGCGTTGGCCGCCTGCTCTTGTCCTGGCAAAAGAGAAACTCCTTCTTGCAGCAAGAACAGCAGGTGAGACCAAGAAACGCAGAAATCTCCACATGGTAACCAACCCAACACATGCTGGGATGGGATGTCGACATGCGGATCCTCAGACGACTTTCCGGACACCTCTTAAAACACCCATCTCCAGCGTTTCTGGACGGTTCCGGCGCTTCTCTGCATGTAAATAAACACATGTGACATCATGTGACTACCAAACCCCGCCCATAGGAATCGATTTGCTGACTTGAACAGCCTTGCACCATCGAAAAACCCACATTCTTCGTTTGGGGTCCAGAAGTAGACGGCTTCGTGGGGCCTTGGGATGACCGGTGCACCTGGGGAAGGGACCCGAACGAAGCGAGTTGCTTCGTACACCCGGTCGCTTTGACAGGACCTTGGGTCCTTCGCAGAACACTCGGGACGCCCCCCCGACCAGAGCGGTGGAAAAAAAGAATGACATACGCGAAGTCGATGATAAGACCAAGCATGCCAGAAGTGCTCTCATCTTCATCATTGTCCTTTTGGATTCCTTGAAAAGCGGTGGCAGCATATTTCCTGCGGCCAACGTCGAAGAATACGCACAAAAAAACACATATGAGTCGAGGTGAGAGTGTCAGGTTGCTCTAAAAAGTGGACCGAAGCTACTGCCTACCCCTCGACCAGCAGGGATCGATTGGTCCAGCATGGTCCAGCAAAAGGTAATACCCCTCCTGCAGATTCCTTAACATGGCCCCAGGGGTTGTTAAAGGCTATCTATAACACATGCCAGGACCCTCCAAGGGGTGTCTGTTTATAGCCCCTTAGCTGTGATTCGGGATGTCCATTAACCACCCCGACTGGGGGTCCTGGTGTTGAGGGTAGGTTATTTAAACACACCTGGCCATGTAGACGACTCTGATCGAAACCATGAGTCGTCGTCGAGGTCCGCTGGTTGTCGTCCACCTTTCAGATGCGGCGAGCCGCTAAGCCCGTTGGAGGGCGAGCCGCTAAGCCCATCGAGAGCAGAGGGCCGGGGGGTGGCTGGATTGATGTTGTGCTCCTTTGGTGTGTCATGAAAGATGAGGATGATATAGGATGAGGAGATATGAGGAGGGGAATTCGAGTTTGTTGAGGGGTCTCAAGAGTTAGACTTCGGGTCAGACAAAGTGACCGTCCATGGTCCATCATGGTCCATCCGAGGCTGACCATCCATGCGGACAACATGGGATGGCGGCCAGGGGAAACGGTCACTTGAAGACAGAGCCACTCAGCCCACTGATCTGCATGGACATCTGGAAGCGCACGTCACCTAGCTGCAGTCCTTTTCCTTTCCGGTGCCGGTACCGTACAGCAGATGCTTCCCGCGTGTGGACACGGGGAGCTCGAAGTGCAGTCAGCGTCAGAGTGATCGACCCAGAGCATCTTGACCATGAAACACCTCAAAACCACACCATACACGCACAACCAACATCAACCAACATCAACCTATGTTTTGCCAAATACCCTTGGTGGTTCCTACTATTCCTCGCGTCTTCGATGGGCCACGGTCACGGTCATCACTCAGAAAACCTCCGGTTGCCACCGGTCCGTCGCGTTCCGGGACGCGAGTCACGGGGAACGTGGCGTCCCAAACGGCGTCCCTTCACCGGTCGACCGTTCAGGACCTTTGTGCCTGAGCAATCCGACCGTCACGGTGGCCACGAAAGAGAGGTGACGGAAAAAAGCGACGTTTGGGATCCAATCCAAGTCACGTCCGCAACCTCTTTGCGTCACGTCATTTAGATCTCACATGTTGGATCCAAATCAAGTCACGTCAGCTTGCATCAAGACAAATCAAATCAGGTATCAGGTCGACTAGAGTGATGCACCTGAAGATCTTGCGGAATTGTCATGTCTAATTTAAGACTTCATTGCAGGAGTCCCAAAAATTAAGGGCAGCTCTGCGTCGGCTGTGTGTCCAAATAACTACCATCTCAGCCGACAGCGAGGATCGACCAGTGGCTCCCAGCTTTCTGAGTGGGTTCAGCGAGAACTCATTTCAAACACCATCATGACCTACAGGTCCTTCACTGTCATGTCCTTTCGAATAAGACTGAGATACCTTCGCCGGCCTTCGCCGGCAATTAGGAAGGGTTGGTCGCATTATCTCTCATTCAATGCCCTTCTCCTGAGGCCTCCAAACCCTGCAAAAGCTGAGGCCAACGACGGACACTCAATTTATTGACAAAATTGAAACGGACTGTACGGTAGATCAGAACATATCAGAACTAAGGGAGGATAATGCCTCTGACCTTCCACTCCATCTTCTCCCGTTGCTTGCTCTGGTTCAGCACTTCATTGTGCAGCTTCCAGGCCATCTTCGAGACTTCCATCTGTTGGGGCCACCTGTCACTCGCTTCGAGGAAGTCGCCCGTCTTGCTGGCTTGCATCTTCTTCACTAGGGCCTTCTTCACATCAAACACCACCGTGCTACTGTAGACGCTGGTCATCACGGCGGGATGCACGTGCAAGTCCAAGAGGTTGGCAGTGTGCACGCACATCAGCCCACCTTCATAGCCGATGATGTTTGGAATCACATCACAGCCTTCATGATCAACACTCCAGTTACAAAGAGATAGCAAGCCTTGGGCATACCAGAAGTAGCCGCCCTTCTGCTCCGGGCTTGTGGGCATGCGCGGACGCACGAGATCGATCAAGGAGCGTGGATCTTGCAGCAGGGGCTTCCCCATGGCATCTTTGGAAAAGTTAAAGAGTGTGTAGTAGAAGAGCTGCTCATCCGCCACTGTCGAAAGCACGCCACCGGCACCATTCGCTGTGCCAAGATCGAACTCATCACGACATTCACCGGTGGCATAGATTTCATGGGTCTTGGGGTCGCGGTATTGGTAGTATTCATAGACCCTCTTCCTGCGATCTCCTGCCATGCTCAGTTGGTAGTCATAGGGGTCGTACTCCGTTGAGCTCTGCTCCAGTACACTGATGATGTGCTTCTGCAAATACTCCCTGAGCGACTTTCCAGAGAGCTTCTCCACGAAATACCCTGCGAGAATGAAGGCGCTATTGCTGTAATCGTACTCCGTGCCCGGAATAAAGAGCAAGTCTTGGTTGATAAAGAGCTTCACCGTCAGACCGATGGAGCCCGCATAGGGCAGGAAATAGTCGCGGAAGGGAGGGTTGGGGATACCCGAGGACATCGCAAGCAGGTCCACAAAGCGCACAACCTTGGGCTTTTGTTTGATTCGTGTCCCGAGTTTGGGAGTGCCAAAAATTCTCAAGGAAGTGCCCTTTTCAAATTGAACATCAACAATTGTGACAGTACGTAGATGATGTCACACCCACCGAACGGCCTACAAGAAATTATGCGGTCAAGTAAGAATGCAGACCATGAGAATTATGGTTATTGGATGTTAATAGGCTTTAATACGTTATGTGCCCTTCCATGATTTCTGCAATGGTTCACCTGACACTCGGAAGATCCCGCAACTTTGGGACAATACTTCCTTGTTCCATGCATCCCGAAGTTCTTCAAGTCCTTGGCATTCAAATAGTCGGCGATGGAGGCGTTGAGGTCCACTTTTCCGGCCTCCTGCAGTTGATACAAGGCCACGGCCACGTAGAGCTTCGTGTTGGAGGCCACTGGGAAGATGGCATCAGCCGGCATGGGGTCCTTGTAAGGGATGTTCAAGAAGCCATACCTGGGACGACCGGATCAAGAACTTTGGGCAAGGGATCCAAATCCCAAAAAAAAGTATTGCAAGCCCAGCTGATTGGAGCTGATGTCAACCCATATTTTGATGCCATACGACTGAATTTTTTCATGGAGTGGCTGAGCCTCCGAATTGATGGATTCAAAAAGACATCCAACCTGTTTGAGTCCAAGATGGTTCAAGGTTTTCTCGCATGGACTAATCAGAAAAGTGTTGAATCCAACAAGATACTCTTTCTGGAACAAGACCTCGTGCGCGGCGTTGGTGACCCGCGCGACCCCGTTGAAGTCGTTCCAACCATCAAAGGCTGCAGCTGACACAGCGGCCATCCCCAAGAAAGTCGCTTCCAGCAATCCCATTCTTCGGCGCCGAAGAAACCGGACACAATCCGTAACCGGACTCGCCGGACGGAGCAGAGCCCAAAGCTCACGTTAGGTCGGCGTCCGTGGCGTCCGTTAGGACGCGAAGATTCTTGAGGTCCATTGGGAATAGGACTTTTTGTTGAGTTCCTTGATTGGGAGCCCTGGTGGTATAGATGGGGTCTATCCTAAACTCCCAGGGCCCAGTGGATGATGACTGATGACTGGATGACTCTTCAACAATAGTGATAACGTTATTGTTGACAGACTGTTACAGGTAAGAACGGGCAGACCCATACCGGTATAGATGTTAATTCACATTGAGTTCCTGCCAGAACACGTTTTCTTTTTTATCTTTGCGTTCTTCGAAGATGCGACATACGTTCTCAACCGGTCGGAAGTAGAAGACCAGTTAACATGAGAAGCACATCCATGTGTGAGTGGGATACAATTATATGGATGTTGTTTTTTTTGGGGGAACATGTCGGCCCATCATGTCAGCCAACAGGCACAGTCCACCAAACGTCAAGCTTGTCCAGCCCCCCAAGTCCAACATGTCAGAGACTCAAAAATGGTCAATTCGGTTCCAACCTGGCTGATTCACTCACCGGAAACCATCTTCAGCATTTCACAGCGGTGTTTTGGATCCAGCATCGGATCCAGCTGATTCGCGCTGTGGCTCGGTACCACTTCCCCCCCATCACACCGCCCGCCACGCCTGGCCAGTGCACATTCCTGGCCGCACGGCCCACCGGCCGAGAAGGATCATCTCACACCGCACGCCGCACATGACGATCCCGCCCAGGGCTGTGGTTCCCCGCTCAAACGGCCGGAGAAGCGAAAATCCCAGGGCACTGGTAGAGTCGTGGAGCGCACCGAATCGCGACCCTGGACCCTCCATTCAGTGGGGGCCGGACCCTCAAATCCTTAGGGTTTGGAGGGACCAGAGCAGTGGCAGTGAACGGAGGGTCTGGGCTATAGCTACACTCCACCGCTTGATCGCCCCACTGCGACTCGGGGTCCCACTCCGGCGATGAATCTGCCTGCAGGTTCTACTGCCAAGCTGGGCTGTTTTGCTCGTCACCCGCAATAGAAACAAAACGAACATATTGATTATGGGTCCGTTAAGGGGTGAAAGCCTCCCAAGTGGTCCCCAATTGATGACCCCCAAACACTAAGCAATCAGAAGCCATCAGAAGCAAAACTTCGGAAACATAATCTACAAAGCCTTGCTAAACAAACGTACCAGGACCCCCAGTCGGGGTGGTTAATGGACATCCATTAAGGGCCTAAGGGGCTATAAATAGGTCACCCCTTGGACAGTCCTGGTATGAATTCCTTTGATATGACCATTCTTTTAGGAGTCCACTCCCACATGGACCAGAAGGGGATACGTCCCTTTTTGCGGCAAGTGTATCTCGCGCATTCGCGAATTCCACAGAAGAAACCCGTTCTACGCCTTTTCGCCGCGTCAAGCCTTCTCCAAGAACTTCCTCTGTCTGGAGGAGAAGACGTGAAGGTTCGCGTGCAAGGCCCGGTACATCTTCTTCCCCGACTGGCCGGATGATGCTTACGACTGGTTGCGCCCGAGGGGCATGAGGTTGGTCCAGTGATGGTTCTCCGAATTGGGAGTTGCATGCACATTCCATGCACTGAGCGACTGAGACCTAATTACATGTTCAACAGCAATCTGGAGCTTCCAACTTCGCGGAGACCGCAATGCTGGAAAGCCCGGATACCGCCGGAGAAAAAGGACGAACCAGCTCGTCCGTGCAGGATGGGATCAGCTATACTCCGGACTCCAAACAGTGTTGGGTAGTACTGGCACACCCAAAAAAAGAACTATGGATGTTGGATTCGGATGCTGGGTTCAATGATGTTCAAGCAAGAAGACCTTGCTTGGTCAGCTCTTGTGGGAACGGGATCGGCATCTGCCCCCAGCATCCCAGACACTGCAACCACTGTACCGGCTGTTCAGTCGAAAGAAGACTCGTGGATCTGTCGGGCAAAAGGAGAATCCCAGACAGGTCGTGTCTGGGAATTGTGTAGAATTATGGACAGGTACAGGTACCATACTATGCCTCCCAAATGAACATTTGAACATAAGAAATCCCAAACGAAGAGCTTCAATTCCAATCCCGTCTCATCTCAGGTCCTCAAACCTCTCACGTGCCCCCACGTACCCCCTCCACCGGCCCCGGTCACCTCGTTTCGACCCAAAAACGTCCCGCCTTCTCGGTGAGGTCCTCGATGAAGCGGTTGTGCGCCACCACGCTGTACAAGCTCTGAGAATCCATCCGCCCATCGGAGGCCTCCGCGGTGGTCGCGCGCACGAGACGCGAGCGCGCGCGCGGGAGACGGGGGGAGCGAGGATGGCTACGGTTACAGAAGGTTTCCATGGAGAACTCCAGACCGGAAAAAGTTGTGGCCGCACCAGATTTCAGATGATACACACCCAAAGACGAGTGGAGACGTCAGTTTTGGACGTCGATGTTGATCGGGAACACTATAGGCTTTATACACAGAAAACATGGACTGCAAGATAGATCCAAACCGCAGAAGGGAGTACTCGGTCGTACTCATTCCCGACCGCCGCGCCTGGACCAAGGCTTTCGCCAGCCACTTGGCTCGTCCGTCCGGGCGTTTAGAGAGCACCTGCTCCAGCTCCACCGTGGCCGCCGGCGCCTCGAGACACGGCGGTAGCCGTGTCCGTGGGCCGCGCATGGAGCGCGTGGAGGGTCGAGGTGCTGGGAGGTGGGGGGGTGGTTGATATTTGCTTGGTCGGAAAGTAGCTGTGCGGGGTGCAGTGATCTTTCTGATCTTTCTGATCTTTTTGGAAGGTGAAGGGAGTTGAAATGGGGCGAGGTTCTTGGTAGAGATCCTTCAAGAAGAGAAACAACCCTGAGTAGTGGCACGTGACTCAGTCTGACCTTGAGGCACCCTGAAGAGTCAAGTCGTCTCATCTGAGAATATCAGAAACAGCTGTGACCAGAAATTAATTAAGGAAACTGCAAATCATTCAGGTGGACAAAGGCCAAGCTCCAAGACCGAAAAAGAACCAAGGAGGCCAAGGAGGCCGTAACTATATATAAACTAACTGTGGAAAGATCGGCGTGATTCATCTGTGTCAGTCCGATCCGGATCCGGATCCTGAGGATCAGGATCCCTTTTCAGGGTCAACCTGCTCAAAAGAAATCCACCCAAAAAAACCATCCTCTTCAACGCGCACCGCAACGGTCCCCGCTCCAGTCCCCTCGCCTTCTCCTGCGCCGTTGGCTTCTTGTTGGCGTTCCGGTCCCCCCCGCCGGGCGACCTCGGTCCGTGGGATCCGCGGGAACCGGAAGAGGAAGAAGGGGACGCAGGGCGCCCCAGCTGTGTAGAGAAAAATCATCCAAGTCTTGTAGTTACAAAACCCAGATGCTCCATGTATGCAAATACGGCCTACGTTTGATGGTTTTTGGTACACTTTACACACAATCTTCTATGTCTTCTGCTGCTGTCTGCTGGCAATCTGGACTGAGTGGGGATGGGTGAACTTGGGTGAACCCCTGACGATTCCCGAACAATCCGCGGAAACCACGTTCGCACAGCACGTTCGCACAGCTCTGTTCGCCGCTCCAGAGTTCAGAGCAACCGTTGGCCCTGGCACTTTGCAAAGCCATCTGCAATCGAGTCCAGTCGAATCGAAATGCGAAAGGGGATTCGTTCTTGTTGCTCTCCAACAAAAGGTGAGAGCACATTCTTCTCGGGCTTTCAAAATAAGCTTGTCAGCAATGTCTATGCATCATGGCAAAGTATACGAGAGGCACACGAGAATGGCTCAGTCAACTCATCTCCATCGCAAATCGCCTTGCAGTTGCTCACGTCGTCTGCACCTCCGCCCGATTCAGCAGAAAAGGGTCGGCTATACAAATATTTGCGTGACTACTTCGAAATGTCTGAACTCAACATGATGAACCCCATAATAAGCACCCAAGTCCAAAAGTACGAATATGATCGAATAATTACGCAGCCTCCTCCTCTCTTTCTGTGTGATCAGTACCGTTCGCGATCTCGCGAACCCGGCACCGGCGACGTCCAGCAGGTAGAGGCGGATGTCGTTGCCCATCTGGCGACTCCAGCGCCGTTCCAAGGCCAGATACCGAGGACCTGACTATGAGTGGATTGGTGGGTGTTGCTTGTAGAGGAGATGGATGTAGAAGCCATCTAGAAGCCAAATAAAATCCAAGTAGAATCCAAGTCATACACTCAAGTAGTACTATATAGTGACTATAGTGGCATAGCAATATGTTGAAGCGATGAATGAAGGGCAAACCACCACGAGAAGTGCTGTGATGTTACTCATTCATTACTAGCTGGGATATGACGGCCACTATTGTTGCTCAGCTGTGGCTGAGCCATCTCCAGGTGTTTTTTTCGCGTCTTTTTCGCGTGCTCAGAACTTGGAGTTTTTGTTGCCGCGACACCCCCAACCATTTAGGTTTAGGTACACTTGGAATTACTTGTTCCTCCTCCATGACCAGGATTTGGAATGGAAACGAGGAGTGGATTGATTTATTATGTTCTATTATTTTTGTAAAGAGCTCATCCACCTCTCCAACCACTCCACCCCTCTTCGCCACCGCGCCACACCGCCACCATGCCGCGCCTCCGCTCCGGTTCAGCTCCAAGGCGGCCAACTCGCTGAGCAGCAGCGGCGGCGGGGTGGTGGCGTCCACGAGCAAGAAACCGGACCACAGGAGGCGCCCCTCCGTGTCCACCTTCCGTCCGGTTCGCCCGTCGGGTCCAGCCCAGATGCTTCGTTCGGCGATGTGCGGTTCGGGCCCGGAGTCGCCCGCGGCCGTGCCGGTGTCGACCAGTCGACCATATATTCGACCGTGGAAAGGTTTGTGGTGTTTCAGGAGTTAATCCCGAGTACCTATTTAAAAACGGACCCCTATTAAAAAAAAAAAGTCATGTCGGAACCCCCTAAGTACAGTTTATATTCGTTGTGAAATTACCGCCCTTTCAAGCCGCTACTAAACTACCAACATGGCCGATTTTGGAGGAGTTCTTTTTAAACTAGGTTCCAAAAACAACCGTAACTGACCAGCAGGCTTTCCTTCCCCCAAAGGCACGGACTCACGCAAACGCACTTGCCACCGAGGTCATGCAAAACCGCATGGCACAGCGACATCACCTTTCGAAAGCTTTAGTTGTTAGTCTAATGAAGAATCACTATTCTAATGGAGGTTTTTGTAGGGGGAAAAGGAAGACCCTTCGATCTGGAGGTTTTTTGAATTTTTGATATGAGTTTAATAAAGGATTTTATATTATAACATTTTCCTGCGGGTGACTTTTTGGTTTTGGGTGACCTTATTTTGGTCCACCCCGATTTCTGGGACCCCCTATTAACAAAAATGCGACCGAGGTTTCCTTATTAGGGGGTGGCGGGGGGGGGGCATGTTTTTTAATAGGTGGACCGGATTAATCACATGTCGGCCCCAAAATATTTGTGCATGTGACTTATGAACTGGAAATGATGCGAACGTACTGTGGTCCGGGCCCGACCTTGAATCCTTCCCCCGTTGGAATTCCTCAGCACCACCAAGCGCCCCTGCACCTTCCCAAGCACACCCATGGCCCACTCCTGCCTCCATGATCCGCCACACTTGTTGGTCATCCTGCACCAAGGGGCCTTCCAAGCCCGCCACCAGGGTCTTCCTGCGAAACGTGATGGCCTGGCAGGAATGGCAGGTGCTATCGAAAAGAAGTGTCCCAGATTTGGAAACATCACCATACTGAATAGAAGCTGGGAGGTTGAGTGCACTTCTGCAAGTGGAAAAAGATGGAAAGAGGCAATGAAGCTTGGTGGAGGCGCTCAGAATTTGAGTGGATCAGTTGTGAGTACGGGGCACAGAATTCACCCAAAGATACATGGTAAGTTTCATGTTTCAGGGATGAGCTTCTGTCTTCCTGGTTTAGTTTATCGTTCCAGTGCCTGTATGGTAGCGAAATGGTAGGTCTGTGTGTCAGTTAGTAGGCAAGTGAACACTTCTAATCTAGTCCACCCAACCCAAAATCGACCAAGCCTTGAACCAACACGCTACTTTTGGGCTGGCACCTAGTGCACTCTGTACTGTGAATCTTGACACCATGATGATTCGCTATTACACTCCCTGGAATTCTCATGGAAGTGAAGCATATGGCCCTTTGGATGACCGTTTTCCTCTACTGGCACCGGTGGTTTTCCCACGACTTCCGTTGAGCCGCCCGGTTCCGGTGCACCAGTGCCTCCAGCCCCTGGTTCGGCAGCTCGCGTGACCTGCGCGCCCGGCTGAACGTCCAAGAGCTGGGCGTTCACCGAGGAATTGGAGGAGCTGCGCCAGGTGGGCCAGGGCGGCAGCCTGACAAACAGGAGCCGAATGGATGTTTCATCATGTTCCCGTCTTCACTTTTTGCATGTTTCGAGGATGATAAAGTCATGGGGCATGTTGAGGTTGCACGCACAAACACCCGTGAATCAACCTCTTTCTTTCGCAGAAGTACTTGCTTCCATCCTAGGTACAGCCTCTTCTGGCCGCTGGAACGTGTCAGAACCACGTGTCCGACATGGGGGCATTCGACTTGACAATGGCTTGGCCATGTGGGCATGCAGCGGCATGCAGCGAAAGGGCCATGTTGGAGCTTCATGCCATCTTGGCTCTGCGCACAAGATTGGTTTTGTTCAGAATCAGATGCTGTAAATTGTCGACATCTATATGAGACAACACTGGTGTCATGAAACGAGATCCCCAGCTGAAGAATGTCACCACCAGGGATGCGATCCAACCATTCCGCAAGTTGGCAGACACTGTGATGCCCAAGAGCTTTTGCTTGTCATCATAGACACTCAGTCTCCGCTCAATGGCCTGCAGGGCTGCAATCACCTTGGTGTGGTCCGGCAAATGCACTACCTTGAGCATCGCCTCAGTCAAAAAGAGGGTGTCGCGGGCCAGGACGTTATTGATTCCAATGCACACTTCGAAGACCCTGAACATGGCAAAGGTCAGAACTGAGGACAGCATGAGAATCAACAAGAAGCCTGGGGAGAAAGGATCACTATGAAGAGACCATTCCACGATGCCAGTGAACAGGAGGCCAAGGAGAAGCAAGAACACAATGGCCCCACAAGCATCCATAATGGCAGATTCGTCTTTGAAATCAATCTGAATATATCTTCGCACTGCCCACCATGCTTCAACGTCCTCGACACTCTTCACGTTCGCCAGAACCAAGCGATCAAAGTCGTCGATCTTTTGAGTCTTCTGGGCCACGGGTTTCTCCTTGGGTTCGCCATCTGTTTGCCCCGAGCGGCGTATGACCGGCTTGATGAATGAGCCTTGAAAATGCAAGTATTTCCTTTTCAACCTCTCATCCGCTTTCAACTTGCTATCTTCCAAAGCTTGCCTTTCGGTCGCATTCAAGTACTCAACGGAACCAGAGGAGATACAAGAGAAAACCAGCAATTGGACTTGATTCCGTTTCATCCCCATGGTGGATGAAAAGATTCCAGAAATCGTATTGTTCCAACTCAAGCTCGCTTGAAGAGCTGTTATCACCTTCACAAAAAGATCCCACCATGACACTCCCTCCATGGGGCCAGAGACGAAGTCTTTGGCCGCTTCAAAGCTCCAAAGTTCACTCCATGAGACACCGGGATGCGAAACTCTGGACTCCCCCAGTGGAGTTTCGAACTCCTGACT